AATTTCATTTTATTAGATAGCACCCAATGTTCAAGTCTGTCAAGTTCCTTCTGTATCTTAAGCCTGTCTTCTGCCAGTTTAGTGTCATCTGCAAATTTGATGAGTTCCCCATCTATCCCTCATCTATCCTTCTCTTAATGACCATTGTGGAAAAGATTGTTGGAATCAGCTTGGTCACATTAGAACTGTCATGGCTTATGACCATGGTCACATTAGAACTGACCATGAGTTATGACAGTCAAACGTTAAGGACTAACTGTACTTCAATTTCTTCACCATCTACTTGGGTTGGTACTGCCTGTTGATATAGTTAAATTAAATCTCAGTTATTCTAGTATCTTATTATCCATGTATTAGTAGGAGATGAAGACAGATGTAGACAAAGGATTAAAATGCAGAAACATCCCAGGGACAGTTATGTACCTACTGCCAGGGCCATGGTGTCTCAGTTATAATATTTGGGCTGCAAAACATCAACCGCCAGAAAGGCTGGACAAATTAAAATTGATGCCTTTGAATTATGATACATGGAGAAATGGATTGGAGGGTTTGGACCAGGAGAAACATCAAATCATTGATTCATGGCTGAAGTAAAATTACAGCGCTGTCTGGAAGCACTAATAGTGAAGCTTACAGCGTAGACATTCCAGATCCATAATACAGGTAGTCCTTAACTTACAACCATTCATTTAGTTACCGTTTACAGTTACAAGGGCACTAAAAAGAATGATTTATGACCAGTTTTCACACTTACAACTATTGCAACATCTCCATGGGCACCTGATCAAAATTGGGATGCATGGCAACTAACTCATATTTATAATCTTTGCAGTGTCGGGGGGGGGGGGCGAGGTCATTGTGATCCCCTTTTGCGACCTTTGGACAAGAAAAGTCAATGGGGAAGTCAGATTCCCTTAACAACTGTATAACAACTGCAATGATTCACAGTGACAAGAAAGGTCGTAAAATAGGGTAAAGCTCACTTAATTGTCTTGCTTAGCAACAGAAATTTTTGGACTCAGTTGAGGTGGTAATTCAAGGACTGCCTGTCTTGCCAATACAGTAGGTCTTAAAATTTGAAGAAATCAAAGACAGTAATAAAAAAAAAAGCAGGTGACAGAAAGCAGGATGGTTAGATGGTTAAATCCAAAAGATGGATTTGCAAGGACTAAGCAAGCAAGTCCTACCAGACAGTCCTGATCAAATGATCTCCACGAAGCCATGAAGAATCAAAAACATTTTATTTTATTTTAAAATGGGACAGGAGAGAGACTTCCTGTATGTCACTGTTATTCCTGTCCAAATTAGGAAAGTGTGACCTCCACATGAAAGCTTATGTGGTCTGGCAATAGCTGAACAAATGTTATGCCAAAGTGAGCTTTTATTTTCAGTTTTGAGCTTAAATAATTTTATCTTTTGAAAACTGACTTCCTCTGCCCCAAGATTGGGATTCCCCCACCCATTGTAGCTTCCACTGGTAGGCAGTCTTAACCCCCACTCTTTATTCTGACTGCATCTTTATAAGAGAGGAAAAAGTTAGTCTTGACTTTATCTGGAAACTTATACAATTTCAGAAAGAGAAACAGAGATGTTGAGCAACTGAGGGTCTGAGCAGCCAAAAATGAGGTATGTATCTGTGATGGTCAAAATGTTTTTTTTTTTTTTTGAAATGTGATGGGGGAGGGTCTATAACATTATAACAAGATTTATATTAAAGAGATGACAGAAGGAGGAGACTGGATACCAGCACTTTTAGGAGCAGGAATGCTGAGCCCTAGAATATGTTACATTACTGGCACTCAAGTCTGGAAGAGAGGCCTCCAAACTTGGCCACTTTAAGACATGTGAACTTCAACTCCCAGAATTCCTCAGCCAAGGCTGGCTGAGGAATTATGGGAGGTGAAGTCCATACATTTTAAAGTTGCCAAACCTTGGGTGAGATAAAGAATATTTGTGCAGCTGCAGAATCCTTTCCTTCTTTCTCTCCCTACCCACAAGTGATGAGTATAGTTTTCAGACCAGAGAAGGTGCTGAATTGGGATGAATTAAAAATGGTGCCTCATAATAGTTAATTTAAGCTCTGTGCAGTTTCTATTGCGTTTTGAGCTGCAGATTGTTTTTAAAAAAATGTGAGCAATTAGGTATCTTCACTGAAACACAAGTGTGCCTTTACTTCCTAAGAAGAACAGGAGACGGTAAAAGTCATTGTGGCACATTAAAAACAAACACATGCCCCCCCAACTTGATTATATTTGGAACTGGATGTCTTAAAGTTTAGATGAGCACCTGAAATGCTTTGTTGTTGTTGTTGTTGGCCCTTGTGAAGTTGCTTTCAAATAAAAACATTCCTGCTATTTTAAATATAGTGAGACTACATTGAAGTTTCTTTCCCAACTTGGTGGCCTTCTGAAGGATTTTGTTTGCTTGTTTGCTGTTAATGTTCATGGTTTTAATGCTTTTATATGGTTTTTATGTTGCTTTAATTCTTGGTTGGAAGCAGTCCAGAGCTTGGTATAAGATGGGTGGACAGACAGACAGACAGATAGATAGATAGATATAGAATTAGTAGATGTAGACATGGAACTTTTTATTTTAGACATGCTCTCTAAATTATTGCAATATGTTGTTTTAATCTATGTCCTGCACTTATAAGTGCATATTAATTACAGCTGTTGTAATTACATCTATATATATAATTTATAGGTGGGGTTATAATAAAGAAACCAGGAAATAAAATAAAAACAAAGAATGAAAACTGGCTTAACAATAATTGCCATTCACAAAAGAGTTGTTTCTCGTGACCCCGATGTTCCTTAACTGGTGAACTGATTGAAGCACAGGGTATAGAATGAAAGGCTTTGTTTCCTGTTCAAGTCACAGAGATGCAGACAGATTCTATTATAGTCCCTTTAGGATGTTGTTGGGGGGTTTTTTGGTTTCATATATGTAAATAATTTGAAACTCTCGCCATTTTGTGTGCAAGATCAGTGATCAGAAAATTAGAGTCTTCTGTAAAAAAAAAAAAAAACCTAACTGCATGTGACATGTTAATCTGGAACATCTCCGTGAATATCTCAGGGGCATTGAGGCATGTTAGTTTGCACATTATAAAAGGTTTGGGGAAAGAATTTACTGAAACAAATTCAGCTTCAAGATGAGCCCAACTTTGATGGTTTTGTGCTTTATTTATTTATTTAGATTATTATTCCGTCTGTATTATTTTTACAAATATTTCAAGATGGCAAACATATCTCAGTTAGAATGGAATAGAATAACAGAGTTGGAAGGGACCTGCTCAGGCAGGAAACCCTACACCATTTCAAACAAGTGGCTGTCCAGTCTCTTCTTAAAAACTTCCAGCGTTGGAGCATTCACCGCTTCTGGAGGCAGGTTGTTCCACCGATTAATTGTTCTAACTATCAGGAAGTTTCTCCTTAGTTCTAGATTGCTTCTCTCCTTGATTAGTTTCCATCCGTTGCTTCTTGTCCTGCCTTCGGGTGCTTTGGAGAATAGCCTGACTCCCTCTTCTTTGTGGCAGCCCCTGAGATATTGGAACACTGCTATCCTGTCCCCCCTTGTCCTTCTCTTCATTAAGCTAGACTAACGCACTTTCCCCATACCCTGTGAGGTGAGTTGGACTGAGAGACAGGGATTGGCCCAAGGTCACCCAGCTGGCTTTCATGCCTAAGGCAGGACTAGAATTCATTGTCTTTTGCTTTCCAGCCGGGTGCCTTAACCACTAGGCTAATTTGCCTTGCTGTTGTGTTTGTGTCTGTCTGTGTCTGTGTGAGTGAGTGAGAGAGTGAGTGAGTGAGTGAGAGAGAGAGAGAGAGAGAGAGAGAGAGAGAGAGTGAGTGAGTTGGCAAGAATACAGAAATGGTTTGCCACATCATTCTCGTTCTGTGATGGTTTTCTGATGTCCTGGATGAGCTCCAAGCTCTGGGATTTCCTAAATTCTTCCACCTGAAATGCCAGGTAGATACAACACAGCTCCAATCTTCTCCAAACCCTTCTAATGTCTTAAGATCACAGCTCTCAAAATTCCCTGGCACTTTTCATCCCATTCCCACCTGACAAGTGGAGGATTTGGAAGATAAGGTCAAAAGTGGAGGAGAAAAATCCCTTTCCTTTCAAACTGAGCCATCCAGGAGACTGAAAAATGAGCCATCCAGGAGCCCCTAAAAATGCAGCATGCTTGTTCTAGATAGGCTTCACCCCAAATGGAGTGATGGTGCTGTGTGGATTGGGGAGATGTTACACATGCTTTTGAGAGGTCGCCACTTGCTCCTAGAACAGTGGTTCTCAACCTGTGGGTCGGGACCCCATTTGGGGTCGAATGACCATTTCACGGGGATCGCCAAACAACGCAGTCCGCCATTTTTCCCCCCTTTTCCTTAGCTGTGCTACTCCCTTTTATTTTATTGGCTTTTGAAAGCCAATAGAATAGACTCTCTTGAATAGAGTCTAATTCTGTTGGCTTTCAAAAGCCAATAGGAATTGTCCAGGCTGTCTCTGCCCTGCTGAGCCTGCCAAAAGTTCCATTCTGCAAACGGTGCTGCACCAGTTGAGTAGTCCTCGACTTACGACCGGTTGAGTAGTCCTTGACTTACAACCGGTTGGGGGTCGCGGCATTAAAAAGGTTGAGAACCACTGTCCTAGAACCTCTAGAAATGACTCTCTTTTGCCCTGTCACCTGAGAAGACCCTCTGGGTCACCTTGTCCCAAAGGTGCTTTTTCCCCGAAAGGCAACTGGACTTTCTTATTTTTTTTCTTTGAAAAAGTTTTGCTTCTCATCCAAGACATTTCTTCAGTTCTAACACCCCAGAAGCTTCTTGGGTGAGAAATGAAATGTTTTCAAGGGAAAAAAAAACCCCAAGAAACTCCAGTTGCCTTTTGGAAAAGGCATCTTTGGGACAACTATGACCTGGATGATTGAGAATATCCATAGACACCTGGGTCACCTTGTGCATCAGATCATTTTTCCTTCCAAAATCCAAAAATACTCCACTAATATCTTTTGAAGAACTCACCGCACATTTTACCCCGGGGGTTTTCCTGAAAAGTCTTGTTCTGACTGCTGAAAAATTTCCCCTCCCTCCCCAAATATGGTTATCATCTGGTGATCTAATGAAAGGAAAAATGCCTGAGACATCTGGGGAGGGAGAAGAAAAGGACATGTGATTACGTGACAGACAGAAATTTGGGGGAAATCCAAGGGACTCAGGGTATTATCTTATTAAATAGAAGAAAATCCATCTCATTCAAGGAAAGAGTCAGAGCTGTGCAGTACTGCTGAGATGGTCATTTTAAAGGTATTAATGAAATTATTTGGTCTGTATGGGTAGGCCTCACCTTAAGACCTCAATTGGGGCCAGAATTTCTGTTGCTAAGCAAGGCGATTGTTTTATTTATTTTTATTTCTTAAATTTATGTTGCGCATCTTGCAGTTGGGAATTAGTAGAAGAGGGCTGTTGCAGGGAGGGAGGGAGGAAAGAAGGAAGGAAAGAAAAATAAGAAAGAAAGAAAGAAAGAAAGAAAGAAAGAAAGAAAGAAAGAAAGAAAGAAAGAAAGAAAGAAAGAAAGAAAGAGAAAGAGGGGAGGGAGGGAGGAAGGAAGGGAAAGAAGGAAGGAAGGAAGGAGAAAGAAAGAAAAAAGAAAGAAAGAAAGAAAGAAAGAAAGAATTATTTTATCAAATTTAGGTACTGCCCAACTCACTCTTGCGATGACTTGGAAATTTTAGAAAAATTTTATGGGGTTTTCAGTTCTGAGAATATCTTTACAGAAAATGCAGTTACCAATTAATGAGAGAGGATTCGATTTTCTGAATCTGCAGTTATATCCTCAAGCTTAGCTACTGTCAATTATTAAATATTGGAAGTCCATGTTTGGTATTAACTTTCCGATTTAGGCAACTTTGGTATATCCCTAAATAGCATCCTTAAACAGTGAACAGTATTAGGATCTAAATACAATAGAGCTGTAGTATCTCTGGAAACAATATCAGTTACGAAGCTATCAAATGGAATATCTAATAAAAACAGATTCAATCCTTTTTCCCATGCTAAATTGACCTTATGGAGAAATCCCGCATTAACAGTTGTGATGTGGAAAAATTGGACGAAAGCAATATCCACATAAGTGGATTCTCTCCGTGATAATCTATCCCTCATCTGGTCTTTCAGGTCTTCCAATGATTGCACCCATTGGCGCTGCAACTGAATCCTTCCCCTTTGTTGCTGGTTGTCCTTTTCTTCCCTTTCCTTCCATTGTTTCCAGCATCAGAGCCTTCTCCAAAGAGTTGGGTCTTTGCATCATGGGTCCAAAGTAGAATCATGTGAGCCTGCTCATTTGTGCCTCAGGGGAGAACTCTTAAGTTATTTGTTTAATGATCTACTGGTTTATTTATCTATTTTTGGCTGTCCATGGTTTGATTTGTTTAATCATCCACTGGTTTATTTATCTATTTTTGGCTGTCTGAGGAGTCTTCTCTAATACCAAAGTTTAGAGGGGTCAATATTTTTCCCATCCTGTTTCTCTGAAGTCCAACTTTCACTTTCAGAGAGTGTCCCAGAGAATACTATGACTTGGATGTTTTGATCTCATTAGGTTATCTGACACAATTGGTTTTGCTTCTCCAGCTGCAGCAGAACTACCTCTTCTGAAAGTCTAAAAGAGAAGGAAATAGAGCCACTCATCCATTTTGACAAGGTGGGTTTCATTTTTTCATGTTTTACAATTATTGTGTTAATGTGTATATATGTATATGTATACAGGTAGTCCTCGATTTACGACTTGTATTGATAATAATGAATAACATTGATTTATTTTTTTGCAAATATCTTCAATACCTGGCATATACAGGTAGTCCTCGACTTACGACCACAATTGAGCCCAAAATTTCTGTTGCTAAGTGAGATATTTGTTAAGTGAGATTTGCTCCATTTTACGACCTTCCTTGCCACAGTTGTTAAGGGAATCAATGCAGGTGTTAAGTCAGTAACATAGTTGTTAAGTGAATCTGGCTTCCCCATTGACTTTGCTTGTTAAAAGTTTACAAAAGGGGATCACGTGGCCCTAGGATACTGCCACCGTCATAAATATGAGTCAATTGCCAAGCGTCTGAATTTTGATCATGTGACCATGGGCATACTGCAACAGTTAGTGTGAAAACAGTCTTAAGTCACTTTTTTCAGTGGCATGTAATTTTGAATGGTCACTAAATGAACTTGTTGTAAGTGGAGGACTACCTATATATATGTAAATATATGTATGTAGGTCTTTGGTTATTCGGGTTTTCTCCCACGTAAAATTGGAAGTGTCTTGGTGACGTTTCGACGAAGTCTCATTCGTCATCTTCAGGCTGGTACTTTCGGCTTCGTGCTTCTAGGAGCAAACCCGAATAACCAAAGACCTACATACAAACACCTGTGAAAACCTCAGAAAACAAATATATGTATGTGTATATATGTGTGTTTATGTTTATGTGTATGTGCATGTATAAATGTGTGTATTTCTCAGGAAAGCACAACTCTTGAAACAAAAGGATCTTTTACTGAGAGAAAGTGATTGCAGAGTAGTCAGGCAGAATCTGAAGTTCCTGTGCAAAAACATTAAGCTAAATTTTTCATTGTCCATGCCCCACCCCAAATGCCCCAGTCCATCAGGAACCAATCTGCTGACGTGAAGATGTTGTGAGAACTTCGAGCTGAAAAGGTGATAACGAGCCGTTCTCTGATGCTGCGACCTTGCTAGCAGGCAGGAGTTAACCAGAAAGGAGTCAAACCCGATGGCCTCTCGGGCTTATTCCCCCTTCCCCAATTCCCAGGCAGATACATCAAAGCAAAAGAAAAACCGTATAGAAACGTCCTCAATTCTTCCCCCCTCCCTCCAGAATGGCAGTGTCTGGCAGGGACTTGACACATCTCCTCTCCCCCACTCCCACCCAGTGGTAGGATTCAAATATATAAACAACCAGTTCTCTGTGTGGATGCTGCTTTCGGAAGTCCAGTCTGGGCCCGGGCAACAAAAAAGTAGCTACCGGCTCTGCCGAACTGGTGCAAACTGGCTGAATCCCACCACTGCCCTCACCTCTGTCGCCACTGCCAGTCTGCAATGCTGGAAAGTTTGTGGGCCTCTGCTCTAGATGACCTATGTTGTTGGTTGACTTCCCTTTTCAACAGACTTCCCTTAACAGTGGACAAGTGGAAGGAATCATGCCACCTCAGCACCCGCTGCTTAGTAACACTCTGCCCCAGTTTGTGAGTCTGGACTTCCCCCTGGACCATCTGCTGGAGCAGCTGAGACCTAACCTGAAAATCAGGCAGCAGGTGGCTGAGCTGGAAACCCGCCAGAAGACCTTGGAGAACATTGTCTCGGTTCTAAGCCGGGAGCTGGGCAGAAAAGAAGAGGCCCCTGAGGTCAGGCTTGGAGAAGCTCTGGCCAGAATCCTCTGTCTGGAGGAGAAAGTAAGAGATGTCCTTTGGAAAGATTAAGTTGATGCTTTTTAAAAAAAAAAAATCAAATGTCTCCAATGAGAACTTATAGATCAGAGGTGGGGGATAATAGCTCCTTTATAACTTGTGGACTTCAACTCCCAGAATTCCTGAGCCAACATGGCTGGCTGAGGAATTCTGGGATTTGAAGTCCACAAGGCATAAAAGGCCCCGTTATAGATAGGCCTCAATCTACAACTTTCGTCCAGTGGCCATTCAAAGTTACAATGGCACTGGAAAAAGTTACTTATAACTGGTCAATGTTCTTAAGACTATTGTAGTATAGTCACATGATGAAAACACGGATATTTTGCAACCAGCATGTATTTATGATGGTTGCGGCATCTCAAGGTCAAGGTCATGTGGTCGCCATTTGTGACTTTCCCAGCCAACTTCCAACAAGCAGACTTAATGGGGGAAACCAGATAACCGGGTTAACATTGAAGCTGGTTCCCTTTTTTGTGCTAAGCCAAAGGTGAGCAACTATGGTCCCTTTATGACCTGTGGACTTCAACATGGCTGACTCGGGAATTCTGGGAGTTGAAGTCCACAGGTTGTAAAGGGTCCACAATTGCTCATCCCTCTGCTAAGCCATAGTCACTGCAACCATAGCTTTATTGAATAAACTGCAGTTGGCTAAAATATATTATGGTTGGGCAGGCTGTGTAATCCAGCTGCTGAAATTATAAAGGATAAAGGGCCACTGTGAAAAAAATATTACACCCCCTTCATGAGCTGTGGACTTCAACATGGCTGGCTCAGGAATTCTGGGAGTTGAAGTCTACAGGTTGTAAAGGGGCCATAGTTGCTCATCCTTGTGCAACCATGGCTTTACTGAATAAGGTGCAATTAACTAAAAGATATTATGGTTGGGCGGGTTGTGTGATCCCAGCTGCAGAAATTGTAAAGGATAAGGGGGCAGTGTGGAAAAAAAAAGATTATGCTTTATTCTTTTTCTCTTCTATAGTTATTGATTAATCATTCACTTGTCTCCATGAAGTAATACAATGTCAGGTTACTGAATTTAATTGAAGGTATCAATATTCTCTTCCTCTTTCGTGGAATCTCACCATATCCTCTTCTGTACTTCCATGTATTCTTTCCAGATAGAACAGCAAGATTCACTCTTGGCTCTGAAAGATGTGATGATCAGCAACTTGGTATCCCGGATCCAGGCCTTGGAGCAAACAAGCTATGATGGGTGTTTCCTCTGGAAGATCCCCAGAGTGGCGATTCGAATGCAGGAAGCGCAAATGGGCAAACGGCCTGCCCTTTATTCCCCCCGTGAGTGACCAAATTGGGAGATTAAAGAAAAAGGGGGAAGTGATTTCTTAGAACAATGATGGTGAACCTATGGCACGCGTGCCAGAGACGGCACTCAGAGCCCTCTCTGTGGGCACGCGCGCCATCGCCCCTGCCCCGCCTCTCCCCACAGCCCTCTCCTCAGCAGCAACCCCCCAGAGGAGAGTCGCCCTCGGGGAGCAGCGCAGCCAAGGACATGAAAGCCAGGCAGACTTTAACAAGACTCCGCCCTCATGCCCCATCGCACGGAGTTGATACAGGGTGCGGGCAGAAGGTGTGGCCACCATGGCGCTGCTGGGCCACCATGGCGATCTGCGGTGGGCCGTGGAAGCAGTGGGTGGCCCTGTGGGTGAGCGGGGGTGGTTTTGGGGCACTCAGTCTCTAAAAGGTTCGCCATTACTGTCTTAGAACAAAAGACCCTGCTTGATGTCTGTGGAGATTCTCAGTCATCCAGGTCATAGTTGTCTCAAAGGTGCTTTTTGCTTCAAAAGGCAACTGGACTGTTTTTTTTCTCCTTGAGTAAGAAGAAAACTTTTTCCTTCTCATCCTAGAAGCTTCATCAGTTCTGATGGCTGGGGGAGGCTGGGGCTGGGGGAAGAGGTCGGGGAATGGAAGGATAGGTACTGACAGTTGAATCTGGATGGTGAGGGGGAAAGGAAGGATAATTCTGATAAGGTGGTGGGGTGGAATGGAAGGATTGTATTTCTTTGCAATATTACTCCTTCTACCACCACCATCCTATCAGAAGCTAGAATAGAATAATAACTTTATTGTCACTTTGAATGTATACTAATCGGCATATATTAAAATGAAATTTCATTGCATACAGTTCTCAAAGGGTCAGCACTTCTGATATTAAATAAAAATAAATAAACAAACAACAAAAATACAGATTTATGCATATACCCATATAACCTTTCTTTCCATCTCCCCCACCACCAGAATTGATGAAGCTTCTTGGATGAGAAGCGAAACCTTTTCTTCTTCTTCCTCAAGGAAAAAAAAAAACAGCCCAGTTGCCTTTTGAAGGAAACAGCACTTTTGAGATGCCTGCTTGGTGGTTGACTTTCTGACTACAGTAGTGTGACTGTAGACTTGCCCACTATGGGGAAACACAGGAAGATCCCGCTAGTGCAGTGGTTCTCAACCTGTGGGTCGGGACCCCATTTGGGGTCGAACGACCATTTCACGGGGGTCGCCAAACAACGCAGTCCACCATTTTTTCCCCCTTTTCCTTAGCTGTACTACTCCCTTTTATTCTATTGGCTTTTGAAAGCCAATAGAATAGACTCTCTTGAATAGAGTCTAATTCTATTGGCTTTCAAAAGCCAGTAGGAATTGTCCAGGCTGTCTCTGCCCTGCTGAGCCCACCAAAAGTCCCATTCTACAAACGGTGTTGCACCAGTTGAGTAGTCCTCGACTTATGACCGGTTGAGTAGTCCTCGATTTACGACCGGTTGGGGGTTGCGGCATTAAAAAGGTTGAGAACCACTGTGCTAGTGCATCCTGCTGGAACTATAAAAGTTGCAAATTCATGGCCCCATTCTATTCTAGACTACTTCAAGTAGTCTAGAATAGAATAGAATAGAATAGAATAGAATAGAATAGAATAGAATAGAATAGAATAGAATAGAATGGAATGGAATGGAATGGAATGGAATGGAATGGAATGGAATGGAACGGAACGGAACGGAACGGAACAGAATAGAATAGAATAGAACAGAAGTAGGTTTGAAGACCCTAGGAAGGAAGGAGGGGAGAAGGAAGGAAAGAGAAAAGATGGAGGGAGGGAGGGAGGGAGGGAGGGAGGGAGGGAGGGAGGGAGGGAGGAAGGAAGGAGGGAGGGAGGGAGGGAGGGAGGGAGGGAGGGAGGGAGGGAGGAAGACAGATGCTAGAAAGCAAAAGCACTAGCTCCTATTATTATATTTATTTTTCAGAGTTACATCTGAACCCCACAAAGTATCCCTGGAATAGTAGAAGGCATCCTAGAGCCTTCAGTTTTGCTCATGGCCAAAATTGTCCTGTGTTTTATACATGGCCAGAATGGTACATTTTATGAGCAGGCAAATCCTTCTTGTGAAAGGCACCCATCAAATTAATGTGAAGATTCCAATTTCCTTCATAAACGTTTGTCTGGTGTATCCTGCAATAGAGTTTATCAAAGAGACAAGTAGGTATTATTGTTCTTGCTGCTCTTAGCATCTCGTGTTTTTCTCCTTCATGGCCCTCCAGCATTTTATACCACCCGGTATGGCTACAAGCTCTGCCTGAAGCTTTTCCTGAACGGAGACGGGACCGGTGCTGGAACTCACCTTTCGCTCTTCCTGGTGGTGATGAAAGGAGAACACGATTTCCAGCTGAAATGGCCTTTCCGACATAAGGTATGGAGCTTCTGAACTGGTGGTAGGGGGACATGGCATAGGAACCTCCCTCCCTCAATTTTCCTAGCTGTGTCTGCCACCTGTTTGCCAAACAGCAGCTATAAGTTCAAGAGGATTCTCAAATTGCATGCCAACTCTTTTCGGGAGAGTGCCATCCCATAAAGTCCACAGCCACTCTGCCTTGCTAGAATTAGATTTATGTCCAGACCTCCGCAGCTCTAAACATTGGGTACAAATCCTGATAGCATCACTTAAGGAGCCAAGGCAGAGATGTACACTTGCCATGAGCATATAGGTAGTCCTTGACTTACAATAGTTCATTTAGGCCTGGAGGCTAAAACATACAAAGAACGGCTGCAGGACTTGGGTTTGGCTAGTCTAAAGAAAAGAAGAAATAGGGGAGACATGATAGCAGTGTTCCAGTATCTGAAGGGCTGCCACAAGGTAGAGGGGGTCAGGTTGTTCACCAGAGCACCAGAGGGAAGGACGAGAAACAATGGCTAGAAACTGCTTAAGGAGAGAAGCAACCTGGAACTGAGGAGAAACTTCCTGACAGTGAGGACAATCAACCAGTGGAACAGCTTACCCCCAGAAATCATGGGCACTTCATCACTGGAAATCTTTAAGAGACTAGACAACCGCCTGTCTGAGATGGTATAGGTTCTCCTGCTTGAGAAGGGGGCTGGACTAGAAGACCTCCAAGGTTCTATTCTATTCTATTCTATTCTATTCTATTCTATTCTATTCTATTCTATTGACTACTTGAAGTTACAGTGGCACTGAAAAAAGTGACTTATGACCATTTTTCACACTTACAACCGTTGCAGCATCCCCATGGTCATGTGATCAAAATTCAGACACTTGGCAACTGACTCATATTTATGACAGTTGCAGTGTCATGGGGCCATGTGAGTATCACATTTTGCAGCCTTTTGACAAGCAAAATCAATGGGGCAGCCAGATTCACTTAACAACCACGTTAGTAACTGCAGTGATTCATTTAAGAACTGTGGCAAGAAAGGTTGAGGCCTATCTGTATTGATTATGCTTAAGCCCACGCCAATGGATGGGCTCAACTGGTAGCTTTATGTTGCTTTATGTGCCCTGAGGCACTCTGAAATGCTGGTTTCTACAGCTGGATCTCCTCCTCTAAAATCATGTCCCACATTCTTAACCCCCTCAGCTAGCCCAGGTTACAATTCATGGCTTTGAAAGACCCAGAAAGCAATCTGACTTACAGACAAGGGGATACATGACCTCCAACCAAAGCTATCTTATCTAGTGCAGGTAAATTGGTATATATAATATGCAAAATATAGTGCCTATAATTTCTCCCTTCTTTAAAATGCAGGTGACCTTCACTTTGTTGGATCAAGTCAACAATCGTCATGTTTCCACCTCCTTCCGTTCCTTGGAATCCTCGTCTTCATTCCAGCGGCCCATCAACGAAACCAACGTGGCCAGTGGCATCCCTACGTTCTACCCCTTGAACTCACTCCACGAACCAGGGACTGGCTACCTCCATAATGACATGTTAGCCATTCAAGCTGTGATCGACACAAAGGCTTAAACTAATGGACAACACCCAGTTGCTCCGACATGATGGAAGGCTCCAAAACATCTTGTCGAAAGACAGAGCTACCCTGCTGTATTTTCTTTTTCAAACTCTACTCAACAAGGCTACAGTTGAGAAAACTCTGTGGGGCTTATTCAACCCCTTCCCTATCACTCATGCAATAGCCCAGAGATTGAAGGACTCCCTAAAGTCTGTGCTCCTAATGCAAATTTGAACCCATTAATTTATTCTAAGATCTGGATACCACAACGGGATTGGTATGCAGAATCCAAAATATTCTGTCAAGGGTGAAAAGGAGATATAAAGCTAAGGTTTTCTGCTGCAAAATCCATTTCTAGTGTTTTGAAAAGTAAAACTATTCTCTCTTCACATCCTTGCCAGAAGAGGTGGACCTATTGATGTTTTGTTGACTATTAAATGTATTTGTCTTATTTCTTATTATATATTGGTCTTGTTTTTCTTATTTATTGTATTATTTTTCTTATTGGTTATTGTTTGATTACTTTCTTCATCTGCCAACCAGCAGAGTTTTGAGGCAATTATCAACCATTAAAAGCATACTTCAGTTTTTTTAAAACTAGCAAAGTCAGATTTTTTCTCTTCAGTGGAAACCATATTCTGAAGACCTGGGATGGCTTTGGAGACAGCTCAACCCATGCTGTTGTGAAACAGATCAATGGCGAAGGGACATCTCGAAGATTCAGATACAAATTGTAGTAATTTAAAGGTTAAAAATCTTTGGAAAGATTCATCTGTAAAGATGAAAGTATGCAAATGCAAGTAGATTAATAGGTATCACACCACTGGGAAGATAATAGCTGCACGCCTTTGGTCAGTGGTGGGATTCAAATACCTGAACAACCGGTTCTCTTGTTGGATGCAGGCCTGGGCCTCTGACGCCTAGAACGGACTTCCGAAAGTGGCATCCATGTATTTCCAGCGGGTTGTCCTAGGCCTGGGAGGGCTACTCCAGGCCTCCAAGGCCTAGACTGGACTTCCGGAAGCAGTGTGCATTCAGCCGGTTCTCTGAACTCAGAAAAATTTAGCTACCAGTTCTGCCGAACTGGTGTGAACAGGCTGAATCTCACCACTGCCTTTAGTGCATAGCCATGCTGGCCACATGACCAGAAATTGTCTTCAGACAACGCTGGATTCCCTCCACCAAGAAACGGAGGTGAGCACCACGCTCTAGAGTGGGACACGACTGGACAGGGAAACCTTTACTTTTTTAGAGGTAGTCCTCAACTTATGACCACAATTGAGCCCAAAATTTCTGTTGCTAAGACATTTCTTTAGTGCAGGGCTTTTCAACCGGTGGTACGCGTACCACTCGTGGTACATTAGTGAGTGGCAGGTGGTACGCAGCCTTGCCTAGCCAAGTGTAGTGGGGGAGGGAAAGAGCCAGCGCAGGCAAGAACTTGCAGAGTGGCTAAGTGGCTGGGGCAAGGCAAAGGCCCCAGGCTCACTTCTGGCTCACCCTCCCCCATGAGAAAGGAGGAGGGGGGCAGAGACAGGAGAGCCTATAAAAGGAGGTAGTTTGAGCGGGAGAGGGAGAGAGAAAAAAAGAGGCAGCCCTGGTAGGAGGTAGAGTCAGCTCTAGCTGCACTGAAGGGGAAGGAGGAGGGTGGGGAGGAGATGAGAGAAGATCAAGCAGGACAAACAGGCCAGCCATGAGCCAATCTACAACTTCTGTGGCAGCCACTTGTGCTGGCAGCAACAAACAAGCAAGAAATGCAGCAGGGGAGGGGTTACCCTCCACAAGGAATGAAGAAAGGTAGTATCAGCTGGAGGTGAGACATGGAGGGAGGGAGGGAGATGGGAGAGTGGAAGGATTCTTATGTGCTTTTGTGACTTGGCTGATGTCTCATGTTAGCTTCTATTGCTCTGCTGTTGTTAGCTGTAAGTTTTGCTGCAAGGGATTTTGAAGTATTTTTCTCCTGAATGGATTTTGCCTATAGCATTCCTTTACTTATGAATGGAACCATTTGGCGAGGCTGCCTTAGCCAGTACTTACATTTTTTTTCTTCCTTAAGTGCCGGCTGCCGGCTCCTTAACTTTCTTTTCTAGCCAGTAGCTAATTCTTAAAGGGGAATGTGCCTTTTTAAGCTAGTTCACTCAGCAGCTTGTCTTTTCTGTCTCTGGAGGTTTTTCCTTGTTTGATGAATAAATGGAAGAGAGAAAATATGGGGGGGGGGTTCAAATTCTTCCTTCAGAAGGAAATGGGAATGAAAAAGAGGGAGGCAGGGAAGGAGGGAGGGAAGTCCCGCCTTAGCACTTGGTCACAAGCAGCCCTGCCATTGACTTTTCTTGTCAAAAGGTTGCAAAAGGGGATCAATGACCCTGGAACACTGTGCCCATCATAAATATGAATCAATTGCCAAGCATCCAAATATAAATCACATGACCCTGGGCATGTTGCAATGGTCATAAGTGTGAAAAATGGTCATAAGTCATTTCAGTGCAATTGCAAGTTTGAACAGGTTTTTTTTTTTTTTTGGTCATCAAGTTTTTGACACCTTGCTAGGTGGTACTTGAATATTGCCATATCCTAAAAGTGGTACCCCCTTTATGGATTACTGCCTTGTCGTGGCGAAGGGGCTTGCGTAACTCAATAAGCTATGCCGTGCAGGGCCACCCAAGACGGACAGGTTATAGCAGAGAGTTCTGACAAAATGTGATCCACTGGAGAAGGAAATGGCAAACCACTCCAATATCTTTGCCATGAAAACCCCATGGACAGTACTAAAAGGAAAAAAGATATGACGCTGGAAGATGAGCCTCTCAGGTCGGAAGGTGTCCAATATGCTACTGGGGAAGAGCAGAGGGCTAGTACTAGTAGCGCCAGAAAGAATGAAGCGACTGGGCCAAAGCCGAAAGGACGCTCAGCTGTGGATATATCTGGTGGTGAAAGGAAAGTCCATGCTGTAAAGATTTTTTCTCCATAGGAACCTGGAATGTAAGATCCATGAATCAAGGCAAGCTAGACGTAGTCAAAAAAGAGATGACAAGACTGAACATCGACATCTTAGGAATCAGCGAACTAAAATGGACAGGAATGGGTGAATTTAACTCAGATGACCATCAGGTATACTACTGTGGGCAAGAATCCCTCAGAAGAAATGGAGTAGCCTTCATAGTCAATAAAAGAATAGGAAAAGCAATACTGGGATACAATCCTCAAAATGACAGAATGATCTCTATTCAATCCAAGGCAAACCATTCAATATCACAGTAGTCCAAATCTATGCCCCAACCACTGGTGCTGAAGAGGATGAAATTGACCGGTTCTATGAAGCCCTACAGCACCTTATAGAATTAACACAAAAAAATGATGTCCTTATCATCATGGGGGATTGGAATGCTAAAGGTAGGAAGCCAAAAGATAACCGGAATAACAGGGAAGTTTGGCCTTGGAGTACAAAATGAAGCAGGGCACAGGCTGATAGAATTTTGTCAAGAGAATACGATGGTCATAACAAACACTCTTTTCCAACAACCCAAGAGACGGCTCTACACATGGACATCACCAGACGGTCAACATAGAAATCAGATTGACTATGTGCTCTGCAGCCAAAGATGGAGAAGCTCTATACAGTCAGTAAAAACAAGACCAGGAGCTGACTGTGGCTCAGATCATGAGCTTCTCGTTGCAAAATTTAGGCTTAAATTGAAAAAAGTAGGGAAAAGCACTAGGCCACTCAGGTATGAACTAAATCATATTCCTGATGAATATACAGTAGAGGTGACAAATAGATTTAAGGAATTAGATCTGATAGACAGAGTGCTGATATGGACAGTTCGCAACATTGTACAAGAGGTAGCAACTGAAAAAGAAATGCAGAAAGCAAAATGGCTGTCTGAGGAAGTTTTGCAAATAGCTGATACACCCAATTGAATGCAGAATTCCAGAGAATAGCATTGTACAAGAGGTAGCAACTAAAACCATCCCAAGAAAAAGAAATGCAAGAAAGCAAAATGGCTGTCTGAGGAAGCTTTGCAAATAGCTGAGGAAAGAAGGGAAGCGAAAGGCAAAGGAGAAAGAGAAAGATACACCCAATTGAATGCAGAATTCCAGAGAGTAGCTAGAAGAGATAAGAATGCCTTCTTAAATGAACAGTGCAAAGAAATAGAATAGGGAGGACCAGAGATCTCTTCAAGAAAATTGGAGATATGAAGGGAACCATGCAAAGAACCAGAGAGACAACAGAGGCAGAAGAGATCAAAACTACACAGAAGAACTATACAAGAATGAGCTTAACATCCCAGATGAGATGGTCACTGACCTCGAACCAGCCCTAGAATAGAAAATCTGAGCAACAACAAAGCTAGTGGAGGTGACAGTATTCCAGCTGAGCTATTCAAAATCTTAAAAGACGATGCAGTAAAAGTGCTACACTCAATTTGCCAGCAAATTTGGAAAACTCAACAGTGGCCACAGGATTGGAAAAGGTCAGTTTACATTCCAATTCCAAAGAAAGGCAATGCCAAAGAATGTTCAAACTATCGCACCATTGCACTCATTTCACATGCTAGTAAAGTTATGCTTAAAATCCTACAAGCTAGACTCCAGCAGTATGTGGATCGAGAACTACCAGAAGTACAGGCAGGATTTCGAAGAGGCAGAGGAACTAGAGATCAAATTGCCAACATACGCTGGATCATGGAGAAAGCTAGGGAGTTCCAGAAAAACATCTACTTCTGCTTCATTGACTATGCAAAAGCCTTTGATTGTGTGGATCACAACAAATTGTGGCAAGTTCTTAAAGAGATGGGAGTACCAGACCATCTCATTTGTCTCTTGAGAAACCTATATGCGGGTCAAGAAGCAACAGTGAGAACCGAACACGGAACCACTGATTGGTTCAAAATTGGAAAAGGAGTCCGGCAAGGCTGTATACTGTCGCCCTGCCTATTTAACTTATATGCAGAGCACATCATGAGAAAGGCAGGGCTAGATGAATCAAAAGTTGGAATTAAGATTGCCGGAGAAATCAACAACCTACATATGCAGATGATAACCTAAGATATGCAGAAGATACCAAGATACAGAAAGAGTGAGGGCTAAAGAGCCTCTTGATGCGGGTGAAGAAGGAGAGTGCAAAAGTTGGCTTGAAACTCAACATTAAGAAAACCAAAATCATGGCATCCGGCCCTCTCAATTCCTGGCAAATAGATGGGGAAGAAATGGAGGTAGTGACAGATTTTATTTTTCTGGGCTCCAAGATCACCTCAGATGGGGACTGCAGCCAAGAAATTAAAAGACGCTTGCTCCTGGGGAGGAAAGCTATGGCAAATCTAGACAGCATACTAAAAAGCAGAGACATCACCCTGCCAACAAAAGTGCGTATAGTCCAGGCCATGGTTTTCCCAGTTGCAATGTATGGCTGTGAAAGTTGGACCATAAGAAAGGCTGAGCGCAAAAGAATTGAGGCCTTTGAACTATGGTGCTGGAGAAGACTCCTGCGAGTCCCTTGGACTGCAAGGCGTTCAAACCGGTCAGTCCTAGAAGAGATCAACCCCGACTGCTCTTTAGAAGGCCAGATCCTGAAGTTGAAACTCAAATACTTTGAACCTAATAGAAGAAGAGGACTCACTGGAGAAGGGCCTAATGCTGGGAAAGATTGAAGGCAATAGAAGAAGAGGACGACAGAGAATGAGATGGCTGGATGGAGTCACTGAAGCAGTAGGTGTGAATTTAAATGGACTCCAGAAGATGGTAGAGGACAGGAAGACCTGAAGGAACGTTATCCATGGGGTCGCGATGGGTCGGACACGACTTCGCAATTAACAACAACAACAAAAGTGGTACAGTCAATGAAAAAGTTGAAAAGCCCTAGTTTAGTGAACTTTGTCCCATTTTACGACCTTTCTTGCCCCAGCGGTTAAGTGAACCACTGCAGTTGTTAAGTTAGTGACAAAGTTGTTAACTGAATCTGGCTTCCCTATTGACTTTGCTTGTCAGAAGGTCGCAAAAGGGACCTTGGGACACTGAGCCGTTGTAAATATGAACCAGTGGCCAAGCGTCCAAATTTTGATCATGGGATCATGGGGATGCTGCAATAGTCATAAGTGTAGAAAATGCCCCTAGGTCACGTTTTTCAGCGCTATTGTAACTTTGAATGGTCACTAAATGAACTGTTGTAGGTTGAGGACTACTGTACTTGGAAATGAACTGGCAGTTGGTGCAATGAGTTTTCTTTCCCTTTTTTTTAAAAAAAGTGGCTGTAGTAATGGAGATGTTCCAAGGAAAAATACAAATTGGATTCCCATTCTTAATACTGGATCTGGACTACTCTCTAGAGCAGTGGTTCTCAACCTTTCTAATGCTGCGACCCCATAATATAGTTCCCCATGTTGTGGTGACCCCCAACCACTTATACATCACCGGGTGCCGGGGGCGTGGCCAAAAAAAGGGGAAAAAATGGCGGACAGCCTTGTTTGGCGACCCCCGTGAAATGGTCATTCGACCCCAGTTGAGAACCACTGCTCTAGAGATCCTATAGATGGCTATTTTGATTTCTTTACTCACTTTAAATTTTTTCTAATGTTCACATAGTGAGAACTTTGTTCTTCCTACCCCCCCCCCCCCCAACTAAGAAAAAAAAAAGTACATGAAAAGCCAAGTTTGGCAATAAATATCTGATGCCATATTGACCTGAACGGAAGATGAACCCAAATCATAAAATAACCTTCCACTGAAAAGGAAACCTCATAAGAAGAAATCCCCCATTGCATTTCAAGTAAATGCAGCACTTCATTATAACCACCTCATGCATACATCCTCTCAATTCTGATCATTAGCTCTTTGTATATGCAACTCTGAAAATTCCCTAAAAAGACCCTGACAAGTGTTCAAAAATGGAGGTAAGGGAGTTGTAACAATTGGATTATTCTAACACACCCTACATGGGGCTGCTCTTGAGAACCATCTAGTACAGGGCTTTTCAACCTTTTCACCCATTGTACCACTTTTAGGATATGGCAACATCCGAGTACCACCAGTAGCCTAGCAAGATGTCAAAAACATGATGATCAAAAAAAAAAAAAGGAAAAAAGTGATAAAGTACAGGTAGTCCTCGATTTACAACAGTTTGCTTAGTGACTGTTCGAAGTTACAATGGCACTGAAAAAAGTGCCCCCCAAGGCACAGCTGATCAAGACATTTGCCTGCGCACTGGCAGCGCTCTTCCTGCTGTCCGAGGTTTTCGTTGTTGTGAGTATTTCTGTTGAGGATTGGCAGCGGGGGTGGGGGGGGTGTTTGGCTTTTATTCCCCGTCTGCTGGGTGGTTGTAGCAGGTTTTGGTCAGTTCACATGACTCTGGAACGCTGTGACCGTCATAAATATGAAGCAGTTGCCAAGTATCTGAATGTAAATCACAAGACCTTGGAGATGCTGCAACATTCCAACTGATCGGTGCTTCTTCTGGGCTCAGCAGAAGTTCCAGGAACAAGAATGTGTAATTGATTTTTTGTTTTGGCTATATGTTTATTTTGTATTGTATGAGGCCCAGACTCAAACTCAACTGATTTGAGTTGGATAGTTCAAAACAGAGACAGGATGGGCCTCGTAGAGATTGCAACACAAAAAACTAAGCAGGAATCATCAGCTACATACCAGTAGTATGCTTTGCTAAGGAGTCAATGTATCTCCTGGTTTTTATTTTGCTTTTTTTGCTTACTGCAAGAATGAAGAAACACCAAACATCTAGCAAGGCACAAACACATTGTAATATACCACATTCCATTTGATGTGAAAGCTACACTACACAGCTAAACACCATGGAAACATGTTGAAAATATCTTGTTGGCTTTGAAGAACCATCCCTTATCATCTCTATTCCATTACTTCTCACACAGTTAAAAAAAAATAAATCTGAATCCCAAATATCCATCACCTTTTATTTTGCGCTTTGAATTGTTAGGGGACACCATCATTTATTAGACAAAAACAGAAACTGAGGTAGTCCTTGACTTACAATCATTCGTTTAGTGGCTGAACTGAAAAAAATGACAATTTTTCACAATTACAACCATTTTAGCATCCCCATGGTCATGTGATCAAAATTTGGACACTTGGCAACTGGCATGTATCTATGACTGGGTCATGTGATCAGCTTTTGCAACCTTCTGACAAGCAAAGTCAATGGGGAAGCCACATTCACTTAACAACTGCGGGGATTCAGTTAACACCTGTGGCAAGTAAGGTCAGAAAAAGGGGACAAAACTCACTTAACAAATGTCTTGCTTAGCAACTGAAATTTTGGGCTCAATTGTGGATGTAAGTCAAGGACTACCTGTGTAAAAAGAGAATGCCATTAAAATGGAGGCTTTTCAGTTGGAGGATGGCTGTGTGAACCAAAATCCAAGAATGCAATCGAAGAAGAGAGAACAAGCAAGAAATTGTTGCAGTCTTTTATTTATTACTTTTTTTAAACTGATTGCACAGAGGGTTAAAGGAGACAGTGAGTGAATCATCGAGAAACCTAGAGCTGGTCATCGGCAGAACTGTTCTCAAGAACATTGCTACAAGTGCCCCTTAACCGCATTACACAGATACATAATGTGGTGCTGCTGAAGGAAAATCTCCTCAGGGGTGACTTTAGTTTTGTGAGTTTGCAGAGAAGAGGCAATAAGGAAACTGTTGTGAGCTGGGAAAATGGTGGAGAAACCCAAATTAAAGCACCATGGTATACAGTATACTAAGCAGAGATATAAGATACCATTTACAAAGTTGTGGAGTCCTTAATGCTGAGCTTGATTGTTTGCTTGCAGACGTTTCATCATCCAACTGATGATGTAACTTAGTCAGGTAATGAAACGTCTGCAAGAAACAACGAAGCTCAAAGGACACCAAGGATTCCACAGTTTAACTTTGAGCTACACATATTCTCCTGTCTTGGTACTTGTGAAGTTCTCTGAGAATATTTCAGGGGCACTGAAGGTCATGTGAACCTTCATCACCACTGAGACCTTTGCACTTCTGCCAGGACATATGAAGTGTTAGATTGCCACCCTTACTGTTAAGGATGACTCCTAATCCATAATACCAATGGTATTAGAATTACCCAGTTCTCTAACAATGAAAGATGACTTGTCTGCCAAGCCAGTCGAAGACCATTTTCAATAACAGTCACAAGCAGGCCTTGGCTACAAAAATATCTCTGCTCTCCAAAGTTAATATTGTGATATAGAAAGAGGGAGAGAGAAAAGGTCCAATTTTGGCCACCACTGTGGATACAGATTTCACAATGGATGCTCCTAAGGGTCTTCCAAAAAAGGCTGCCCACCAATATCTCTCAGTATCTATTGCAATAATCTTGTCCCACAAAATCCTGTCATTGACACAACAAAAAGAGAGCTGGGGGGGGGAGCACCACTGTTTCTTAAGTAATCCGAGTGGGTTAGAAATTTGACCACCTTATTAAAACAGGAGTTACTGACGAACTGCTGAAAGGCCAAGCTTCCCGGTGTGGTTTTTATTAAGTTTTGGGAGCAAGAGATATAAATCCCTAACTATGCTGGAGTAAAAATCTTTCTAAAGGGCAACATAAGAAAAGGTAAAGAGAGAAAGTAAAGAGAGGTAGGACTCGGTTGGAGAGAAAATCCAATGTAAATTAAAAGAGAAACAGATGCCAAATTTAACTTTGACCTAATTAGCAGGTATGGGGAATTAGGGTGGCACTCTGCTTCAGAAGGAAATGGAGAAAGAAAAAAAAAAAGAGCTACATTGCTCTGCACAAACAAAACAAGGAAAGGGCTCCAGGAACTGGGGGAACCTGTATTTTTCTGTGAATCCATAGGTGCTAGATCTCCAGCTTCTTGTTGATGAGAAGAGAGCAGGAACTAAGAGTCCCACCAAGTTTGGCTACTTCAGTGCATGCCGAAGGAATCAGGGTGTAATCTGGAAGCTTCTGAAACGTCTAAGAACACAAGCAAACAGAAACATGTTATTTCTCTTCACAAATGCAACCCCTCCTAACTCAGGCCTTTAAAGCAGGGATAGACTGTATTTTCTGAACTGGAGTCACACCTGACATTTTGAGATGTTGCAATCTCAATCTCTCTCCCCAATGCACTCACAACACAATTGCTTGCAGAGACAGGCCTGCTCAGAAAATGGCCATCACCACAGACCCATTAGTCACAAAACGTCCAATTATTAAATGATAAATCAGCTTCTGAGATGCTCTCTGCCATCCCAGAAGGATCTTTAGGGGTACAGGATAAAGAATAATAGGATTGGAAGGGACCATGGAGATCTTCTAGCCAACCCCCTGCTCAAGCAGGAGACCCTATTCCATTTCAGACAAATGGTTGTCCAATCTCTTCTTAAAAGCCTCCAGTGAAGGAGCACCCACAACTTCTAAAGGGAAGCTGTTCCACTGGTTAATTGTTCTCATTCTTAGCAAGTTTCTTCTTAATTCTAGGCTGCTCCTCTCCTTGATTACCGTATATTCCGGCGTATAGGGCGACCCGGCGTATAAGACAACCCCCGAGTTCGACGCCGAGTCGCAAGACGATCGACGCCGAGTCTCATGCCTAGAAAGTCGTCTTATACGCCAGAAACTAGCTTATTTCCTGCATATAAGACGACTCAGCATATAAGACGACCCCCAAGTTCGGAGGCTGTTTCAACGTTCTCAAAAGTCGTCTTATACGCCGGAATATACGGTAGTTTCCATCTATTGTGGTAGACAAACAAAGGAATGGAAGACAGAGTATATATTTACAGAGGATGTTACTTAATTTGGGTAATGAAACATCTGCAAGAAAACAACCAAATTCAGAGAGCACTAAGGACTCCTCATTTTAACCCTGCTACAAATATTCACCTCTGTTGGTAAATATATACAACTCAAATATGGAAGGCAAGTTTGCTGGCAGTCTATTTCATACATGGCAACTTATTTCAGGTGGCCAAAAATCTGAGAAGAAGCTTTTCAATCATTTAGAAAAATCCACCTTCACTGGCTTACTATAAATGAGGCTGGGACATTCCACTTACAATTTCTAAAAGTTGTCCGAGGAGAATTGTTTTAGTCTTATGGTTTTTAAAAATCAGGACTTTAGTCACACTTTTTCTGACTAACATTTTAGTAACCGTGCACATTTTCATTGGCTGCAGGCCATGTCATCAGATGCATGGTGTGTCTGAAGTAATACAGGATTTGAACTGGGATGACATGAAGGGGAGGAAGAAAGGGAAGATGCTCATACTGATAATGTTAAATAGATAAATAATAAAATAAAATGATGGTTCTTGGGTAAGGAAATGTCTACAAGCAAATCCCCAAGCTCAGAGAGCACCAAGAACCTTACATTTCAGCCTTGAGCTACAGAAAGTCTCTTCTATTGAAGACAAGTTAGTAATGCAAATGTGGATTACATTGTGATGCAGATTCAAAATAGATAATAAACACTTATGATAGGTTAAAAACCACTGTAAAATGAGTCTTAAAGAGGAGGTTGAGACTCTAGAACAGTGATGGCGAACATTTTAGAGACCAAGTGCCTAAATTGCAACCCAAACCCCACTTATCTCCGGGTGCCAGGTGGGTGTGGCCCACTGGGTGGGCGTGGCTGTGGTCATGGCAGACTGGGTGTGGCCAAGGTGGGCGTGGTCACCTCAATGTTGCTCGTGGGGAGGGACACCTGTGGGGGCCGGGCAGGGTTGGGGCAGATCCAGGGGATCTCTGGCAGGTGGGGCAGTGGACAGGAGGCTCGTCCTGCGGGGTGAGGCAAGGCAAGGCAATGCAGGGTGGGGGTGCCATTGTCGCAGGGCAAGGCAAGGTAGGGGCTGGGGCGGTTGCTGCCTGACACCATCGGCCCCCACACACAGAGGCCAGCAAGCGTATGGGGGCCGACAGCAGCCACAGCCCCACTCTGGGGCTCCGCAGTCCGCCGCCAGCAGTTCAGAGAAGCCACCTCTGAGCTAGACAGCCAGTCGACAGCTGAGGAGGCAATGTAGTGGGTCGTGCCCAGAAAAAGCAGAGCATGCGAGCTAGGAGGGATGGGACGGGGGAGAGGCAAATCAGCCATGCTGGGATGCATCCGGGCACATAGGACCTCGGCGAGTTAGCGGGCAGCTGATTGAAGAGGGACGGTTGCCATCTTTGGGGCAAGGTGCGCATGCCAACAGAGAGGGCTCCGAGTGCCGCCTCTGGCACGCGTGTCATAGGTTCGCCACCACTGCTCTAGAAAGAGTGCAGAGAAAAGCAACAAAGATAATTAGGGGATTGGAGGCTAAAACATATAAAAAACGGTTGCAGGAATTAGGTATGGCAGATATTTTCTTTATCTCAACCCCTCTGCCTTACACCAGAAAGGAACAATGTTTATTCTTTCAGAAATACCTTTCTTGGGTATGTCTAGTTTAATGAAAAGAAGGACTAGGGGTGACATGATAGCAGTGTTTCAATAGCTAAAGGGGTGACCCAAAAAAGAGGGGATCAATCTTTTCTCCAAGGCACCTGAAGGCAGGACACGAAGCAATGGATGGAAACTAATCAAGGAGAGAAATCAACCTAGAGAAGTTAAGGAGAAATTTCCTGACAGTGAGAACAATTAATCAGTGGAACGACTTGCCTCCAGAAATTGTGGATGCTCCAACACTGGAAGTTTTTAAGAAGAGATCAGACAACCATTTCTCTGAAATGGTACAGGGTTTCCTGCTCAACCAGGGGATTGGACTAGAACAGGGGTAGGCAACCTTGGCTCTTTTATGACTCATGGACTTCAACTCCCAGAATTCCTGAATTCTACAGAATTCTGGGAGTTGAAGTCCATGAGTCATAAAAGAGCCAAGGTTGCCTACCCTTGGACTAGAACAGTGGTTCTCAATCTTTCTAATACCGTGACCCCATAATACAGTTCCCCATGTTGTTGTGACCCCCAAGTGGGTGTGGCCATCAATAAGGACAGCTAGGGAAAAGGGAAAAAAATGGCAGACAGCGTGGTTTGGCGACCCCCGTGAAATGGTCATTCGACCCCAAATGGGGTCCCGACCCACAGGTTGAGAACCACTGGACTAGAAGATCTCAAAGGTCCCTTCCAACTCTATTATTCTGTTATCTTGGCCACTTGCAAGATGTGTGAAACTCTGCTTAAACATCAAAATTGATCAAGAGATTGCTGAATTCCTCTACTTTCAAAACTCTCAGGTTATCTCACAAGAGCTCAACAAACAGTTGGATGAGGTGACTTGCAGTTCACAGAAGCCTGTGCCCTTAAATCAACTATGTCATTTTATTTTATTTTTTTACCTTTTCCAGACCAAGATTAAGAGACCTTGTAGAGATCTGCATTTCTTGCTTCCTTGCTCTTACCGGACTGCCTGGGGCTTGACTGCAAGGATTATAGCAATGCCTCTAGCGTGTCTCATTTTCACTATGCCAGTTTCCTATTTAATTTTTTTTTAAAGTGGAAGTATAAAATGGAGCAGGCCTCTTGATGGGTTCCCAGGGAGGTTTCTGAGGATACACTGGTATTTGAGGATGTACAATATAAGAACCTTTCTTGATATTTCTAATGTGTTCCAATAGAAGAGAGTATTTGTAGTCCATGATGCTCTCTGAATTCGATTGTTTGCTTGCAGATGTTTCATTATATGAGTAGGGAACATTATAAGCAACAGAGTGTGCAGTTTGCTCTCTGTTCACATACAGTAGCTTGCCCTGCAAGTGTTGGTGGGGATGTAGTTTTCTCCTTAGTAGTTTCTTGAATATAATTGTTTTCTGCTTGTTTGTGTGGTGTTAATTCCCGCTTATCTGGGTATTAGTTGCTAGAAAGGATGTGTTCTAGTCCTATCTATCTATCTATCTATCTATCTATCTATCTATCTATCTATCTATCTATCTACCTACCTACCTACCTACCTACCTACCTACCAACCATCACATTTCTGAACCACCCAACTCCCTCAAAGAGGAATTCTAGACAGTGTACAATTTTTGTTTCTTTCTTAGCTTTTTATTGTCTTTTTCCCAGTTGAAACTATAGTTGAGCCTGTCCATGTGTTGTGAGATTAAGTAATTTTCATTGTGTGTTCTGACAGCTACTTTATTTATTTTTAGCCTGTCTTTATTATTTTTATCAATAACTCAAAGCAGAGAACATACCTAATACTCCATCCTATAAGATGGGTTGGGCTGAGAGCGAGGGACTGGCCCAAAGTCACCGAGCTGGCTTCCATGGCTAAGGTGGGACTGGAATTCACAGTCTTTTGTTTTGTAGCCTGGTGTCTTAACCACTAGACCAAACTGGCTCTCTCGGTTGGTATTCATGGATGGACTCTGCTAGTCTGGGATGGGCGGTTATTATTTTATTATTATTATTTATTTATTTATTTCTACATTGTGTTTTCATTATCTGTAAGCTGCCTAGATTTGCAATGAGCAAGGAAGCGGTTATATAAAATTTCTAAAATAAATAAATAAATAATCTTCTTCCAGTCCATAGTGGCTATTGTTACAGTCTTTACATTGTGTATTATGTAAATAGATGTAGATGATTCCTGATTTTACTTCTTGGGCTACTGGATCTTTTGGTTTACTTAAGATGTTTTGGGCCAGTTGCTGAGCATCCAAACTGCGGTCAGATGACCAAAGGGCAGGCACTGCAGCTCCAGAATCAGGTTATAAGTAGCTTTTGGCTGATCTGTTGTAAATTCAAATGATTGCAAGTCCAGGACTACCATATTTTCCGGCGTATAAGACGACTTTCTAAACCATGCAAATCTTCTCCGAAGTCGGGGGTCATCTTATACGCCGAGTCGTCTTATACGCCGGAAAATACGGTACCTATTGAGCTTTCCTTGAGTACAGGGTGTGTGTGTGTGTGTGTGTGTGTGTGTGTGTGTGTGTGCGTGTGTGTGTGAAAAGTGAAGAGGATGACTGGCAGTGGTGATGGGTGCACCTTTGGAAGACCTGAAGGGCCAAATAATTCCGGAGAAGGTCCATCTCTGCGGTCATTAAGATTCAACACAATGTGATAGCACAAATGTTTCAGATAGAACCTATTTTGTGTTCCCCAAAAGCTCCACCCACCCCCCCAACCCAAGCATCCCCATCCTTCCATTAGACCCAAGTCTCCCCTTTGTCTTACTTGCACACTGTTTGGGTATACTTCTGCGCTGCGATGCAAAAGAACACTACTCTTCTGGCCCAGACGAGCATAGATGCAATTAGCCGCTGGATCATCAGGAACTGTCAGCGTCTCATAGTGGTGATCAGTTAATTGCTCCATGGTCTGCAGAAAAAGAGGAGGAGGGCAGAGGAACTCAGCTCATCTGCAGTTCTAGTCAAGACAACATCAAAAACGTAATTTTCATTTTGTCCTCCTTCCCATCCTCATTCGCACTCTTACTTGAACTGGCTCATTTCCAGCTTTCCTTTTTCTTACACAACTTACATTCTGAGGGCAGTTGAAAAAGAAAATCCTCGCTAAATCAGAGACAGGTAGTCCTCAACTTACAATCATTCATTTAGTGACCGTTTGGAGTTACAACGGCACTGAAATAAAGTGACTTAGGACCATTTTTCCCTCTTACGACCGTTGCTGCAGCCCCATGATCATGTGATTAAAATTTGGATGCTTGGCAACTGGCTCATATTTATGACGGTGTGTCACGTAATCCCCTTTTGTGAACTTCTGTCATATCTGATTCCTGGATGCAGCCTTTCAACAAACCATGGGATCATTAAGGGTGCCTTAGATGGGGCAGCCCTTAGATCAGTGGTTCTCAACCTGTGGGTCGGGACCCCATTTGGGGTCGAACGACCATTTCACGGGGGTCGCCAAACAAGGCTATCCGCCATTTTTTCCCCTTTTCTTTGACCACGCCCCTGGCACCCGGTAATGTATAAGTGGTTGGGGGTCACCACAACATGGGGAACTGTATTATGGGGTCGCGGCATTAGAAAGGTTGAGAACCACTGCCTTAGATGGATGCCTAGTGCAGTGTCAGGCTCGCCTGACCTGGGCCTCCGAAGGCTTCTCCCACTCCAGAGGCACTCCGTACTTCACTTTTCTCCCCCTTGGGGTCCCTGCAATTTTTTTTACCTTTCTTCCCACCCAGTGATCTTGGGGAGATCAAGCCACCTGAAGTATGCAAGTCTCCAGAGAGCAAGGGGAAATCAGCTGGATAAAGTTTGCAACTTCCAATGAGCAAGGGCAGATCAGGCTGTATCTTGCAAGCCCCTCTAGTTGCCTAGGGACCCTGCAGGAGTTAGCGTGCTTCAGCACTCAGAACCATCCAACATAATTTTCTGTTTTTGCAAGCTTCCTAGAGAGGCACCTGGCCCATTACACGATCAGCTTCCTTAGAGAGCCAGCCTTGCAGCAAAATCATGCTATTCTGAAACAGGTGATCTTCTCACGATACTGTAGAGCAGGGGTCTTCAACTTGGCAACTTTAAGACTTGTGGACTTCAACTCCCAGAATTTCTCAGCCAATCCTGGCTGGCTGAGGAATTCTGGGAGTTAAAGTCCACAAATCTTAAAGATGCCAAGTTTGAAGACCCTTGCTGTAGAGGGTTGCCAGATTAACTTAACAACCGTGTTACGAGCTTAACAACTGCAGTGAGTCACTCAATAACCCTGGTTAAAAAAGATAAAATGGGGCAAAACTCATTTAACAATTGCCTTGCTTAGCAATGGAAATTTGGGGGTCAACTGTGGTCAAAAATTGACAACTACTTGTATGTGAAAGAACCAGATCAATGGTCAGTTCAGGACTGCAACAAGTAGCCAATCTCCCCCTGAAGCAGAATGTACCTCAACAAGACATCTGGAAACTATTTATAAAAGTTTGATCTGTTTTTTTTTAATTTTATTGAACAACAAAGCCCAAAGCAGCCTCACATAGGGAATGATTCATGGAGAACAAGGCTGTGCATACTAACTAGCTGTGAAAACAAATGAAATTTTCCTGTCCAAAGGCAGTATATCTCTTGAATAATAGGTGCTGGAGATGATAATCACTGACAGGCCTTGCTTGAGAAACTGGAACAGCTATTCTAGGAAAGTCATGCTGGTCTGGGTGGGCTGCAATCCACACTTAGCTTTATTTAGCCAACTTCCCAGTGTCCAAGAAACAAGCAAAGCGGCTATTTCTGCTCTGTGTTGGAAAATATGCTTATAACCTTGAAAATAAACCCCATAAAAGTTTACCCTTAAAAAAAAATTTTTTTTTGCCTGTCAAAGATTGGACAGAATTTTCTGTGGAGCTTACAGGTAGGCCTCATCTTACAACCATAATTGAGGCTGGATTTACGGTCACAAATTGTGCTGGTCATTAAGTGGGTCATCACCTGGTTGAGGTGATTTTACATTTTTGGGGGAGCAATCGTTAAAAGAACACATTGTCTACAACGGGCATTTTTTTTGTGGGAAACCAGAAATAACAGTTCCTCACAAAAAATATCATAAATCACCATCATGTGACTGCAGGTACTGCAAATGGCCGTAAATGTTAACCGGTTGCCTAGCAGCCAAAAGGGTGATCATGTGACGGAAGGGATAGGGATGGCTACCAGAATTTTGAATCTGGGTTGTTTGAATCTGGAAGTTTGAAACTTTTTTTTTTTGTCTGTTGTACTTTCAAATGGTTGCTATGCAACCAATCGTAAGTCGAGGACTACCTGTACTGCATTTCTCTGGGCATGAAATGCAAGCAGCAATCCCTCTACCAGCCTATTGTTTCTCTTCTGGAGAGGATGACTTATCCGCAAGAAATTCCTTGTCCTCTACAGTTACTAGCATTAATGGCTATTGGGCAAGGACATTTTGGGGACTGGAATGAATGGGGTTCTTTCCTAGGAGAGGATCTACCCAAGAACCTGAAGGAACCTTTAAAGAAAAGATCTTGGTGATTCCAAGAATTACCTTCATGGCTTTCTTAGCCACTTCACTGCTGCCAATGACAACGGTGTCAGGTCCAGCCATGCTGCAGAAGCTGCGGAGATGCAACGTGCCTGAGACAGGAACAGTAGACACAGCAAAATCCTGCAGGAAGAGAACATCACTTGAGCTTCTGCAGAGGCCCCTGAACTGTACATAAGAACATTTCTTCCCTTCTCTATCTTCTATCTAGTACATGATTCTGCCAATAATCTTACTTGAACAATCTATATAAATCACACTTCACAATTTGAGGCCCACTTAGAACTATTCCCATCACCAAAATGGCCCACTTTCAAAATCCAGGAGATGTCTGAATTCAACTGAATTCAGACATCTCCTGGTGGGTTTGAGTAGACTTCTGAAATAGCAATTAGAGTACAAAAATGTTCTGAGTCCAGAAGCAACCGTTTCAAGCATGGATCACTTTGGGTAAGGTTAGAACACTTCCAGGGAACTCTGGACCCCACAGCATCTGTTTCAGAAATCCTTCACATGTGAATTATATAGCGAATCTCTGATGGGGATGAAGTTCTAGAGCAGTGTTTCCAATGGCTGGCTAGGGAATTCTGGGAGTTGAAGTCCCCACATCCTTAAGCTGCTAAGGCTGTGTTCTAGAGGGTGAACTGGGAGCCCCCTTCTTTGGGGGATGGAAACACAGATGGAAACCGACATCATCACTGTCTAGCTGTATACACTGGAATGTATTCCTGAAGTTTTCCATTCTAAAGCATTCAAAGCTAACAGCAAACACTGAGCTTTGCAGTCCTTGTGATACATTTGCGACCTGCCTGCCACACATTTTGGACTAGCATCCCTATTATTCTCAATTAACTTGGTTGGGTTAAAGAGGATTGCATTCTGCCATGAGTTATTGGGTTGAGAGAGGCTGCCTAAAACATGTCTCAAAATCCCCTGCTGTGGGCATCTTCATAGGACCTCTTTGGGGGAATATGTTGAAGTGAAAAAGTTCCCAGTTTGGAAAAATAATGTTTTTACTGTCTATGGAGATTCTCAATCATCCAGATCATGGTTGTCTCAAAGGTGCTTTCCAAAAGGCAACTGGACTTTCTTGGGGGCTTTTTTTCCCTTGAAAACATGTTGCTTTTCATACAAGAACTGAAAAAGCTTTTTGGATAAAAAGCGAACCTTTTTCAAGGAAAAAAAAATAACCAAGAGAGTATCTTTGAGATAATATTTTTATTGCCATTATCGTTTTTGCATCATACTATTCCCTCAAAAAGTGCCCCAATTCAATACAACTACTGTATATGTGAGAAGAAAAGCGAAGAACAGTATCCAGTGTATACTAGCCTCTTTGTATAAATATATTTTGGGGGTATGCGGTTGGCCCATTCTAAGAAAGTCAACTCACTCTAAAAGCATCAGCTACCATCTCTGCTCCTCTGTGATTGGTCCATTTGGAAATACCCACAAAGAACTCTCTACCTGTGAAAGAGAAAAGAAAAGTGGAAAACAGGATCATCAGCTCTTAAGAAGCCTTCCCCAGATTGAAGAAGCCTATAAATAGGCTGGTGTCATCACCACAGCTCAAATCTGACCAAAAATAAACATCAGTTTTCCCTGGGAAAAAAAGTCTTAACAGGTAGAATGGCTATATCAGTGGTTCTCAACCTTTTTAATGCCGCGACCCCCAACCGGTCGTAAGTCAAGGACTACTCAACCGTTTGCAGTCGACTACTCAACTGGTGCAGCATCGTTTGCAGAATTGGACTTTTGGCGGGCTCAGCAGGGCAGAGACAGCCTGGACAATTCCTATTGGCTTTTGAAAGCCAATAGAATTAGACTCTACTCAAGAGAGTCTATTCTATTGGCTTTCAAAAGCCAACAGAATAAAAGGGAGTAGCCCAGCTAAGGAAAAGGGGGGGAAAATGGCGGACTGCGTTGTTTGGCGACCCCCGTGAAATGGTTGTTTGACCCCAAATGGGGTCCCGACCCACAGGTTGAGAACCACTGGGCTATATATAAGAAAGAGGATTTCATTTGAACAAGTGTCCACTCCTAAAACATGCTGTTGATGAGGGTTTTTTTTCCCTTTTGTTCAATCATGTCTGATTCTTAGAGCCTGCTTGGACAAGTCCTTACACTTTTCTTGGCAAGGTTTTCAGAGATAGTTAGCCATTGCCTTCTTCCTAGGAGTGAGAGAGTTAATTTGCAGCCCCATGGTTGCACCTAGCCTCCAACCCTCTTTTGCATGATCTCTGAAATGCTTTCTTACACTATCAAAATTCAACAGCATTAGTTCCCATCTTTTTTAGGAAGGAAACCCAGAAACACTAATGCAGTTTGATATTTTTAAGAGCTACCTGTCCAGCTTAAAAAAACAAAAACCTGTTCATATACATTATCAAATGCTAATAATAGAGAATATATGCAGCTCAGGGTTAAACTGCTGGCATCCTGGTGTTTTCTGGTTGTTTTCCTGCAAGGAGAGAAGCAACCTAGAACTAAGGAGAAACTTCCTGACAGTTAGAACAATTAACCAGTGGAACAACCTGCCTCCAGAAGCAGTGAATGCTCCAACACTGGAGGTTTTTAAGAAGAGACTGGACAGCCATTTGTCCAAAATGGTATAGGGTTTCCTGCCTGAGAAGGGGGTTGGACTAGATGACCTCCAAGGTCCCTTCCAACTTTACTACTACTACTACTACTACTATTACTATTATTATTGATCATCGCACAGTCAGCCAGATGTTCAGACTGGATTTGGCATTTTGTCTACCTATCGAGTCCTTACCCAGGACCTGGGATAGGCAGGTGTGGATGTTTGATGGTATTACAGGTATCGTCGCAGGATGGAAGCAGTTCCTAGTAAGGCCGCCTTTTGCAATTGACTAATAGCGAATTTGTCAATGCCAATGGTGTTCACGTGGTGCTCCAGTTGTTTTGGGATTGCACCCAAGGAGCCTATGACTATTGGTACTACCCTTGCTTGCTTTTGCCAGTCTTTCTATTTCTATTTGTAGGTCTTTGTATTTTGTTATCTTCTCCAGTTCTTTCTCATCTATTCTGCTGTCTCCAGGCATTGCCACGTCCACTATCCAGACTTTTTTTTTTATTAAAAAGTTTTTATTTTCCATTTATTGATACAAAATACAATTAAATTCCTAACCATTGGTACCGCCTGCCCATTCCCCCCAGGCTGCGTCCACCCTCTCTAATCCTTCCCTACTTTCCTCCTCTTTCTCTCCTCCCCTCCTACTCTCTTCCCCTCCCCATCTCCTCTAACCATCCTACTTCCTCCCTACTCCTTCCTCCCCTCTCATCCCTCTCACACACATGAACGCAGCATAGGGGAAATGCCCAAGCATTTACCATGACTATATTATCATTACCCACCCACTCACCCACTCATTTTTTGTAGATCTTCCAATGCACTATTGTTGCTACTTTGTCATGCCGCTGCTTGTAACTATTATTATTATTATTATTATTATTATTATTATTATTATTATTATTATTATTATATGCTTCATTAACATTGCACTGATGGTGTTACCAAGCCTGGTAATGAAACATCTGGAAGAAAAATCAAATCAAGCTCAGAGAACATCAAGAAATCCCAGAAATTACCAGATATGAATGACTCACCACATTCTATGAACTTAAATAAAGTTCATAAATTTAATGAATGAATAAACAATGAATAATTTTTCCACAAAACAAAGGGCAGCTTCTGAACCTCAAATAATTGCTCACTTCTGCTTTAAAATACCAAGCTATTTTGAGCTCTGCAGTACCAGATCTTTCTTTGCTGGCTCTCATTTGTCTGGAATAGTATAGGGTCTCCTGCTTGAATAAGGGGTTAGATTAGAAGACCTCCAAGATCCCTTCCAACCCAATTATTCTATGTTCTATCTTCTTGTGGAATAAAGAACATTACAACAGTAATAATAATAATAATAGTAGTAGTAAAGTTGGAAGGGACCTTGGAGATCATCGAGTCCAACCCCCTGCTCAGGCAGGAAACCCTATACCATTTCGGACAAATGGATGTCCATTCTCTTCTTAAAGACTTCCAGTGTTGGAGCATTTACTGCTTCTGGAGGCAGGCTGTTCCACTGATTAATTGTTCTCACTGTCAGGAAGTTTCTCCTTAGTTCTATGTTGCTTCTCTCCTTGATTAGTTTCCACCCGTTGCTTCTTGTCCTGCCTTCAGGTGCTTTGGAAAATAGCTTGACTCCCTCTTCTTTATGGCAGCCCCTGAGATATTGGAACACGGCTATCATGTCCCCCCTTGTCCTTCTCTTCGTTAAACTAGACATACCCAATTCCAGCAACCGTTCCTTATATGTTTTAGCCTCCAGTCCCCTAATCATCTTTGTTGCTCTTCTCTGTACTCTTTCTAGAGTCTCAACATCTTTTTTACATCGTGGTGACCAGTGGACCAACTCACCTGTAAAGAGCACATCACTTCCATCCAGGGTAGCTCCCTCATCTGTAACTTCTACCACACGAAGTTTTAGCTCCTCCAAGACCTTTTTGACACAGCTGATCTGTAAAAATGACAGTGGAAGCAGGGAGGGAAGAGACAGAGACACCTGTTATGGCTGGATATCATACCTCAACTTTCCTCAGGTGTTCTCATTCTTAATACTCTTCAGACAAGATTCAAAAGAGGCTTTCATCAAATGGCTTTCTTCACCTTAGTTACTACTAGACAACCAATGACCTATTGCCATGGTGGCAAACCTATGGCACGGGCGCCACAGGCGGCACACGGAACCGTCTCTGGTGGCACACAAGCCATTGCTGGGCTCAGCTGATCTCTCCTCCTCTCTGCGCATGTGCAGTCTGGGAATAGACGAGAGGCTATAAAAGAAGCAATTTTCTGTGGAAGCAGCATTTGCTGCAGACAGCTTGAGAGTGAGCACAAGTCAGAGCGGACAGCAAGCGAGCACGAGCTGACAGCTCGGTGGCCATGCCCACCCGGCACCCGGCGATCCATAAGTGGGTTTTGGGTTGCAGTTTGGGCACTCGGTCTCTAAAAGGTTCACCACCACTGACCTATTGGGTCATCCTTTGAGAAAAAGGCAGGGCAGCATGATGGAAGAATTATAGTGGTAAACTATAATTGACTTTGTTCGTAGGAAGCTGGCAGGGAGTGTCAGAAATCTCAATAACGTGACAACAGCTAACAGTTGCAGCCACAACTGCGCCAATACAACTTGTCTGAAGACCTTTGAAATTTCTCTTCCAGAGCAGTAATGGACCCTGGATTCTGTATACACATTTAAAGTTAGCAGATCTGAGGTCCTTTGATTCAAAACCTATTACACTACGATGTACCATTTCAGCTAACTGATGGTTACACACAAACAATGAGAGCATGCAGATACAAATATTCACCACTATTGCATACAGATACTATAATAATGAGATACTATTATTAATCAGACTTCCTCTGAGTCTGTATCAAGGAAAAAATGCTCCAAATAGCCAACACACTGAAGAATTTGGCCTCACGGAGCCTCTGTTACCCATGTTCTTTTTTAATACATTGAGTAATCATGACATGGACTATGCTATGCAGAGAAGCCTAGCAGGTATCTTGGCTCCAATTTGAATTATTTGGGCCATATCCAAACAGGCCAATTTTCACAACTCACATCTCTTATTAGATTTCCAGAAGTCAGCAATCACTACTTTGTTTATATTGTAGCAAGAAGGTAAGCCTACTTGGTTCTTGACAAAGCAGTATAAGCAAAGAATTAGGAAACACCACCCCAACGGAACTACAATTTAGCATTTCTACATGTGCATTACATAAAGAATAACTTGAAGTGCAAATGAAACAAGAAAAGAATGGAAAGGAATTAATATAGCTCTATATTTTTTATCTCTTTCCAGAGGCGTGAAGAAAAATAAAGGGTTAGGATGGAAATCGGCAATTTGTAGACCTCCAGATCTGACTGAACTACAATTCTTACTATTCTTTGCCACCAGCCATGTTGACTAGGACACAGTGGAATTAGCACTGAACAATATCTGGAAGGCCATTGGTTCTCCAGTTATGGCCTCCACATATGAAACTGTACTATCCAAGAAAGGTGGGAGCTTCTATTTTTTAAAAAAATTATATCCCACTTTATTATTTTTATAAACAACTCAAGGCAGTGAACATAGCCACTGCTCCTTCCTTCTCCCAATCTCCTTATAACAGGGGTCTTCAAACTTGGCCTTTTTATGACTTGTGGACTTCAACTCCCAGAATTCCTCAGCCAGACACTCTGGCTGAGGAATTCTGGGAGTTGAAGTCCACAAGTCATAAAAGGGCAAAGTCTGAAAACCCCTGCCTTACAACAACAACCCTGTGAGGTGAGCTGGGCTGAGACTGTCTGGCCCAAAGTCACCCAGCTAGTTTTCTTGGCTAAGGCAGGAGCTGAACTTATGGTTTCCTGCTTTCTAGCCTAGTGCTTTAACCAGTAGACCAGGGGTTCTCAACCTTGGCAACTTTAAGACTTGTGGACTTCAACTCCCAGAATTCCTTAGCCAGCAAAGCAAAACTGGCTGAGGAATTCTGGGAATTGAAGTCCACAAGTCTTAAAGTTGCCAAGGTTGAGAACCCCTGCAGTAGACCAAACGGGCTCTCCATTTTTCCATATTGGGGAAAATGTACAACTTTTGTTCACAGGCCCAACCAAATTTGCTGGAAGTGATACAAGGGTGGGAATGCTGTCATAACACAATCCTAAATGTTATAAATAATGAACGTGACTGGGCGTTTCATCGAATATTATTATGCAGAGCCGAACAAGGAGAGAAGGAGGAGACCTCGAACAGTCCACCTATCCCCAAGTCCTATTAACCCCTGTATTTGCTACTACTGAACTTCATAAAAATGCAGTTGTTGGCCAGTTTGCTACAGTGCTCTGAGGATAAAAGGAAATGTCTCTTTATGACTATCAGTTTTTGAGGATGTTGAGGCAGTCTCAAAAGAAAAAAATGGACTATGTCAGTGATGGTGAACATTTTAGAGACTGAGTGCCCCAAAACTGGGCCCGCCCCCGCTCCGCCCGCCCATCCCCTGCCCCGCCTGCCCACAGGACCACTCACCGCCTCCAGGGCCTGCCGCAGATCGCCCAGGCAGCCCCGCAGCGCTATGGCGGCCACACTCTCTGCCCGCGCCATGCAGCATCAACTGCATGATGGGGTGTGAGGGCAGAGTCTTGTCTACGCTGCCTGGCTGCCATGTCCTTGGCTGCGCTATTCCGTGTGGGCCACGCTCGAGGGCGACTCTCCTTCAGGGGGGCTGCTGGAGAGGAGGGGGTCGCAGGGGAAGGCAAGGCTGGGGAAACGGCACGTGTGCCCACAGAGAGGGCTCCGAGTGCCACCTCTGGCACCTGTGCCATAGGTTCGCCACCACTGGACTATGTTGTCTCTCCTGTTCTCTCCTGAGAATGTTCATATTAGTAAAGTTGGAAGGGACCTTGGAGGTCATCTAGTCCAACCCCCTGCTCGGGCAGGAAACCCTACACCATTTCGGACAAATGGCTGTCCAGTCTCTTCTTAAAAACTTCCAGTGTTGGAGCATTTATGCTTCTGGAGGCAAGCTGTTCCACTGATTAATTGTTCTCACTGTCAGGAAGTTTCTCCTTAGTTCTAGGTTGCTTCTCTCCTTGATTAGTTTCCACCCGTTGCTTCTTGTCCTGCCTTCAGGTGCTTTGGAAAATAGCTTAATTCCTCTTCTTTATGGCAGCCCCTGAGATATTGGAATACTGCTATCATGTCCCCCCTTGTCCTTCTCTTCGTTAAACTAGACATACCCAATTCTCGCAACCGTTCCTTATATGTTTTAGCCTACAGTCCCCTAATCATCTTTGTTGCTCTTCTCTGTACTCTTTCTAGAGTCTCAACATCTTTTTTACATCGTGATGACCAAAACTGGATGCAGTATTCCAAGTGTGGCCTTACCAAGGCATTGAAGAGTGGTATTAATACTTCACGTGATCTTGATTCTATCCCTCTGTTAACGCAGCCTAGCACTGTGTTGGCCTTTTTGGCAGCTGCAGCACACTGCTGGCTCATATTTAGGTGATTGTCTACTAGGACTACGAGGTCCCTCTCACAGTTACTACTATTGAGCATGGTGCCACCTATGCTGTACTTGTGCATTTGGTTTTTCTTGCCTAAATGTAGAACCTTGCTTTTTTCACCATTGAATTTCATTGTGTTAGTTAGTGCCCAATGTTCAAGTCTGTCCAGATCCTTCTGTATCTGAAGCCTGTCTTCTGGAGTGTTGGCTATTCCTGCCAGCTTGGTGTCATCTGCAAATTTGATGAGTTCCACATCTATCCCTTCATCCAAATCGTTGATGAAGATGTTGAAGAGTACTGGGCCCAGAACAGAGCCCTGGGGCACCCCACTACACACTTCCCTCCATATAGATGCAGTTCCATTGAGGAACACTCGCTGAGTACGGCCGGTCAGCCAGCTACGGATCCATCTGGTGGTGGTTCTGTCTACCCCACATTTTTCTATCTTGTCAAGTAGTAGGTTGTGATCTACTTTATCAAATGCCTTACTGAAGTCAAGTAAATTATGTCCACAGCATTCCTCTGATCCACTAATTTTGTCACTTGGTCAAAGAATGCAATAAGATTTGTCTGGCATGATCTATTTTTGACAAACCCATGTTGGCTTTTAGTAATGACTTTGTTTGCCTCTAGGTGTTCTTTGATTCGTTGTTTGATTATCTTTTCCAGGATCTTCCCAGGTATTGAGGTCAGGCTGATAGGTCTGTAATTTCCTGATCCATTTTTTTTTCCTTTTTTGAGGATGGGAACTACATCAGCTCTTTTCCAGTCCTCTGGTAGTTCCCCTGTGTTCCAGGATCTTTGAAAAATATAGTTCAGTGGCTCCGATATCACATCTGTAGGACAATGTCCTACAGATAGTCTTTCTGATGAAATAGCCTAATGGGGATTCAGCTCATTGATGGAGAATAAACTTTTTTCCCTCCCTTCCAAATAATAGTCCATTCTAGACCAAATCTCGTCCCTGAGTAAGGCAAGAATGTGATTTTCGATGCATCCTAGAATATATATAAAGTGCATAAACTTGGAAGTTCTAATCTGCCTCTAAGAAAAAAAATATGTAATCACACGAATGACCTTTAACTTGATCTATTATTCTTTTGTTGCATCTTCATGCCATAGAGATGCCGTGGCTGTTCTAATTTTATCAATGACTCATCTCTTTCTCCTCCACATAAGCACTTTTTAACTTAATTTTCATGGATCGGGTGCGCTTCTGCTTTTGACAACATCTGTGACTTTCCTTTGCTGCAAACTTGGCCTTCTTTTTGCTTCTCAGCTTCAACCCATTATGCATAACAGTCTAGGAGACTTCAGTTTTCAAGGAATATTTTAAAATGAGTGTTTGTCTTTCACAACTTTCCCAACTTTCCCAAACTGCAAGGGACCCAAAATGGAAATTTGCAGGTTGGACCCTAAAGTTCTGTCTTTATAAATATTCCATGATTCCTATAGTGCAATATTTCTCAGCTTTGGCAACTTAACATACATGGACTTCAACTTCCAGAATTCCCCAGCCACCATGCCTAGCTGGAGCTGGCTGGGAGTTGAAGTCCACACATCTTCAAGTTGCCAAGACTGAAAAACACTGCTGTACATGGAGTCCTTGACTTATAATCATTTGAAGTTCCAACAGACCAATTTGGGGGATACTTTCAACCCAGATTCGAAGTTCCCATGGCAGAAGTATACACATACTACTACAAGTGCTCAGCAACCAGGCCATATTTATTGCCATTTGCAAAAATCGAGATGGCATTCACAACTATGTGATCAAAACCCGGTCTCCTTATGTGTATATATCAATGTGGAGGTGGGGTTTTGATAACGCAGCTGTAGGCATCTAGATCTCCAATGCACACTCACTTAATTGTGAATCTATTGATCATGGCAGACAGAAATGCAAAAAAATCAGTAACAGAACTAAAGATACTCCCCCCCCCAAGAGTAAATCAGCTGAACTCTCTCCACTCTGGGACCTTCCACCCAAAAGGATAAGTTCTCTGGGTGTATCCAGTGTAGGCCCAGACATGACATATGTATTTTTCAAGCAATTCTACATGTGCAATCTGGGCAACCAGGTTTGTGAACCTGGGATAGAGGGAAAGTGCCTTCTGTCAACTCTACAATGAGCCTAGCTGCAGCCATCTTTCTCTCTCTCATTCTAGTTTGCCACGTGGAAAGGAGGGAGGGGGGTTTCACAGATGGGAGCTCTGGCAGGTGCTTGGGGAATGCCGGTGGTCATGGTGGCTTGGGAACGTTGGCCGAAAAGATGCTTCTTCTGAACACATCGTGGTCTAGGTTCGGCTGGGCTTGACTTCCTAGGGCGGTCCAACTCAATGTCTAGAGCCGCCACCCAACTGTACCACTCTCGTGGCTGGTTGGGAATGCCCCGATAGGAGTAAGTCATGGTCCAGCCCTTGCTTGAAATAGTTGATCAGCGAACGTTCTGGCCACTGCCCCAGCCAACCAACCACTCTTCTGAATTCTGGGATGTATTCTTTAGTGGAGTGGCCCCTCTGCTTCAAACAGTAAATTTCCTTCTCCGCCAGCAGAGTCTAAGATTCATCTTCAAAACAGGCCCTCCGTTGAGCCATGAATAGCTTAGCATCCTGCAGTTCAGGGGCTCCTTCATCATGGAGATTGGTCACCCAGTTGCAGGCCTCTCTTTCTAAATTGGCTGCCACAGCATTCACCATTGTGGCATCATCCGGGTAGGCATAGGCATAGCGGTCTAAATGAGTCCACACTTGAATTAGGAAAATGAAGGAAACATGACACCTTCATTCATCTAACCCAGGCTGAGGAATTCTGGGAGATGAAGTCCACAAGTCTTAAAGCAGCCAAGTTTGAAGATCCCTGATCCAACCATACTTTCCTCCTTTGGGGAGGGGCACGGCATTCTATGCAGTGCTTATGGGCACTGATCCAATAGCTCAGTGTTTCTCAACCTTGACAATTTTAAGGCATGTGGACTTCAACTCCCAGAATTCCACAGCCTGCATTGCTAGCTGTGGAATTCTGGGAGTTGAAGTCCACATGCCTTGAAATTGTCAAGGTTGAGAAACACTGCAGTAGCTGGTATTCCTCTTGGCATATGGAGGGCCCTGTCCATCCTGCTTTTAAGGTTGTGTAGCGATTAACTGAGTCTTAAACCAAAATGAAAAAAGGAAGGCTGCATGCCCAAAGCAAATCCGCAACCCTGCTGGCCTTTTGCAAAGCTTTAAAAACTTGGCTGTGTACCTGAGTCCCGTTTCTTGGCTTTCCTGTTAAATAGTCAATTCTCTTGGCTGCTGTATAGGTTTATTTCGGATGTTTTCCATTGTTTTAAATGTTCTTGTGGTTTTGTTTTTTATAGTTTTGGAACTCTAAGCCAAACCAGAGTCATTGGTTGAGGTGGGCAGCTACAGAAACTGAATAAAAATAAAAAATAAAATAAAAAAATAAAAAGTAAAGTAAAGTAAAGTAAAGAATAAAATAAAATAAAATCCAAGGAAGTATCCAACCAAGTATCACATTTTTCTTTCCTGAAATGTCACATAAGCAGTTTTAGGAAATAGAAGGGGAGGGCGGGGGAGAAAAAAGTTGGGACAGGGAAGAAAGTCACCACTTGCTTCCCAAAATGGTTCTTTTCTTCCAGCCATGCTTGACCAACCTCTGTTTAAGGAATGGACAGGTTTCTCCTGATGGCTATTGCGTGGGGCTACTCAGGAAAAGCTCCCATGATACTACTCTATAACTACTATATAGTTACTACTATAAGAAACGGTTGCTGGAATTGGGTATGTCTAGTTTAACGAAGAGAAGGACGAGGGGGGACATGATAGCAGTGTTCCAATATCTCAGGGGCTGCCACAAAGAAGAGGGAGTCAAGCTATTTTCCAAAGCGTCTGAAGGCAGGACAAGAAGCAATGGGTGGAAACTAACCAAAGAGAGAAGCAACCTAGAACTAAGGAGAAACTTCCTGACAGTTAGAACAATTAACCAGTGGAACAACCTGCCTCCAGAAGCGGTGAATGCTCCAACACTGGAAGTTTTTAAGAAGAGACTGAACAGCCATTTGTCTGAAATGATATAGGGTTACCTGCCTGAGCAGGGGTTGGACTAGATGACCTCCAAGGTCCCTTCCAACTTTATCATTATTATTATTACTCTCCCCAAAAATGGGAGACTTTTAGAGTAGGGGCAATATGCTTCAAGAGGACTTACTTTGCACCTGTAGTCTTGGAATCCCAAGGTATTCTGCTTTACATCATTCTGGTTGTACAAATGATGACATATACCCATCTTCTTCCTGGACATGATTATGTATGTTTAAAGTGGCCCAATCAGCTAGGATTCCAATTGGAAGAAGTTATAGATAGTAGGATTGATGGAAACAATAGATAGCTGTATAGATAGCTGGATAGATGGCCAGCTAGATGGCTAGCTAAAGCATTGCTTCTCAATCTTGGCAACTTTAAGGTATGTGGACTTCAACTCCCAGAATTCCCCATGCTGTCTGGGGAATTCTGGGAGTTCCTTATATCTTAAAGTTGCTAAAGTTGAGAATCACTGAGATGGAGGGATGGATAGACAGAAAAACAGATGGTTGGATGGATTGGCGACTGTAATTTATCTAAAATGTGCTTATAGGGTCATTTTGACCCTGTTCTAACACACTTGCTTTTGACATGGGATTCGAAATGTTTTCAAGAAATACTTCTTGCTAACAGAAAAGTGCTTTTTATTCCTGCCTGCTTAGGGCTGTTCAACCTGAAAAGCCATTTAGGGAACAAAAGGACCCAGAATGTTTACAAGCATCACATTTTTTCATATGAAGTGGTACCTGCTTCAGAGCTCTTCACACAGAGAGCTTCTCCTGAAGAAGAAGATGGTACTAAGGATTCACACTATGTATCTACAGCTGTTTTAAAAAGTTCCTTTTCCTTTCAGACCAAATCCACTCTCTGTAGCACTCAGCTTTAAGCGACAAGGATGATATGGAACTTGTGAGATGTATCGTGGTGGGTTGGGTATCAGCAGACATCTATAAGTGACACTGGAGGTGGAGATGGGCCAGGAAGGGAGGGTGAGACAAGATCCCAATTGCCAAGGCAACCAAATTGCACCGCAGAAACACAAGGGTGCAATTAATCCCAGAGCCTCCTACAGTAGAACAGATGGGATCTTCTTCTGACACCATCAGCTAGATCAGCCTTCTCCAGCATGGTTCTCTCCAGATTTCTATCCTACGTCTCTCCAAGGCCAAAACCAGTAGGATAAAATTATCAGTAATTACAAGAGCTGCGCCTTGGTTGGTCTCAGAAAGCTAAGCAAAGGTGGCGTTGAAATTTTGTGGAAGGCAAGCAAAGCATGCCAGGGCTATGGACCAAATGGGGAAGAAAGCCAAGCCAGGTGGCCTGTCTGTATATGCCAAGTGAACGAGATGGGGTGCCCATGAAATCACCAGGAGCTGAGCTTGCTTTCAATGAGATTTTTTATCTTGTCTGAAACACTTGGAGGACACATAATTGAAAAAAACCCCAAAGTAAACACTGTCTTCCTGTGAAAACAGAAAACTGAAAAAGGTGACTTATGACCGGTGGTGGGATTCGAATATGTGAACAACCAGTTCTCTGTGTGGATGCTGATTCCGGAAGTCCATTCTGGGCCTGGACAACAAAAAATTAGCTACCAGTTCTGCTGAAGTGGTGCGAACTGGCTGAATCCCACCACTGCTTATGACCTTTTTTCACACCTACAACCATTACAGCATCACATGGTCACATGATCAAAATTCAAACACTTGGCAACTGACTCATATTTATGACGGTTGCAGTGTCCCAGGGTCACATGATCATCTTTGGTGACCTTCTGACAAGCAAAGTCAATGGGGAAGCCAGATCCACTTATTTATTTGATCAACGTTAAAATAATTTAATTAATTAAATTTAAATAATTTAAAAGTTGATTTTTTTATGCTTATAGATATGGGATGGGATATGAGATGAAGAGATATGTTTCTAACTTCAGGAAGAGTAATGAGCATTATGAAGAATATAGGAACTTAATCATGACATCTATTTCTAACTTAATGAAGGTAAAGAATTATTAAAAATAAAGAGTGGAAGTCACTTCTTCATATATTTCTTTTCTCTTTTTTTCTTTCTTGCCCTTTTTTTTCTTTCTAATCTGTTTTCTTTATTTAGATTCAAGGTACGAGATTCACTCCCATGAATTCTCAAGTTAAGAATGGAATGGGCAGGCTCCATTACATTCGTAATTCGAAGCCTACCTATATATACAAGAGAACCAACATCCTTAAATCTGACATTAGCCGTATATAAACGTTACCTCGTCTCGCCGCGTGGGCATCCATGGCCGAGTCAGGAGCACGGTATCTCCCTGGATGACTGCCAGATCCCCCACTAGTGTAGCATAGGGGAAGCCCTCGTCTGCTGCCAGTTCAATAACTTGCAGCCCTAGCTTCTGGCGGAGTATGCCAGTATAGACCCCATACTGTCGGTGTGCCTTGGCTAGGTCCACTGGATCAGCCCCACTGTCAGATCCATCTGCTGTGGTCTCCGCTGTGGCAAAGGAGGAAGGAATGCAGCGGACGATGGCGTGGGTGTACTTGCCAAAGGAGGAGACACTGGCCATGTTCTGCAGGAAGACAGAAGAGATACAACCATTAGGATTAAATGGACTTCATTTTCAAACAAATGTAAGTCCCACATCAACAGATAATAATAATAATAATAATAGTAGTAGTAGTAGTAAAGTTGGAAGGGACCTTGGAGGTCATCTAGTCCAACCCCCTGCTCAGGCAGGAAACCCTACACCATTTCGGACAAATGGCTGTCCAGTCTCTTCTTAAAAACTTCCGGTGTTGGAGCATTCACCGCTTCTGGAGGCAGGGTGTTCCACTGGTTAATTGTTCTCACTGTCAGGAAGTTTCTCCTTAGTTCTAGGTTGCTTCTCTCCTTGATTAGTTTCCACCCGTTGCTTCTTGTCCTGCCTTCAGGTGCTTTGGAGAATAGCTTGACTCCCTCTTCTTTATGGCAGCCCCTGAGATATTGGAACACTGCTATCATGTCCCCCCTTGTCCTTCTCTTCGTTAAACTAGACATAACCAATTCTAGCAACCGTTCCTTATATGTTTTAGCCTCCAGTCCCCTAATCATCTTTGTTGCTCTTCTCTGTACTCTTTCTAGAGTCTCAACATCTTTTTTACATCGTGGTGACCAAAACTGGATGCAGTATTCCAAGTGTGGCCTTACCAAGGCATTGTAGAGTGGCATTAATACTTCAATCTTCTGCAGTGACCAGTAATGACTAATTCTGCACCTAAAACAGTAGGAAGCTCTATTGTTGGCCACAAAGAGTTTACTTTTGGTCAAGTCAAGTGGAAAAATCACAAGATTAATGCAAGATTCACAGATGACTCACTCCAGCAGAGAACCTAAGGCTACTGGGAAGGCAACACTATTTTGTGGATACAAGAATATTCCCTCAGTAATATTTTGGGAAATACTAATGGATAGAAGCAAACCCTAGGTGGGGCCACTCTTCTAAAAATAAGTGGAAATATCTACTTACTTTCTGTCTTTTCTGTTGTTTACTACAAGTAGTCCTCCACTTACAACCCTTCATTTAGTGATCATTTGAAGTTAAAATGGCACTGACAAAATTGGCTTATGACCATTTTTCACACAATCATTGCAGCAACCCCATGATCATGTGATCAAAATTCAGCTGCTTGGAATGGCAAATGGCTCATATTTATGATGGTTGCAGTGTCCCCGGGGGTCACGTGGTCACCTTTTGCAACCTTCTGACGAGCAAAGTCAGACGGGAAACCAGATTCACTTAACAACCGTGTTACTAACCTAACAATTGCAGCGGTTCACTTAACAAATGTGGTGCAAAAAGTCATAAAAGGGGGGCAAAACTCACTTAACAATTTGTCTTGCTTAGCAACAGAAATTTTGGGCTTAGCTGCAGTCAGCAGTCAAGGATTATCTGTATTCTGATAAGTAACAGAAATCCAGTGTCTAAAGCAAAGATCTTTCAATCCTAGGCCATTTACTCAAGAAATTTTATCTCAAGTTTAAGACCTTACATTTCTCAAGATTTCCCAGGAACTGAGATTTCCCAAGAACCGCCCAGTTATGTGACAACACTGCTATATTTTCAATGAAATGGACTTGGCCCATTCCCTAGGGCTAGGAAATTTCTCCAGAACTGGGAGAGATGTATTCATCTCCCACCAGCAAAAAGGTGTGGGATAGCAAAGTTGAGAAGAATGCAATTGCTTTCTCCATCTCTTTCAACAGATGTCTTCAGGAAGACACCAGCTCAATAATCTTATCAGTTACAAGCTTCCTGAGAGGCTCTTTCAAATGCCAATCAATAATTCCTGAAGATTGCACCTATCAAACCAATTAGATTCCTATTTGCGAAAGAAGACAATGAAGGATCAATGGGCTGCCCAAAGGAGAGACTTATAGACACCATCCAATTGATGAGACAGAAAACTAGTTTCTCCCAACCTCCAAAACCTTACGATGTGTGGACTTCATGTGTGGACCTTGCGATGTCTGGACTTCAACTCCCAGAATTTGCCAACCAGCCATGCTGGATGGATAATTCTGGGAGTTGAAGTCTACACGTCTTAAAAATTGCTGAGATTGAGAAGCCCTCAGCTGGAGAGCTGGCATCAGACTTTCACTTTTCCACTCAGTTTGATTCCAAAGGCACAAATGTCAGCCAAATAGCCCGTCTATTTTTAAAAAATGGCAACTTAGGAAAAGACATTCCAAGACATAGCAAGCAGGCAATGCCAGGCAACCTGGACAGGCTTGGTACAAATCTCAGCGGGTCAACACGGACAACTTCCACAACTCAAAGATATTCTTATCATCCTCTGAGACAAGTAGGATTAGAATAATTTATGCAGATTATTCAAACCTGGTCTGATGAATGTTGTGCAAAGGTCTGCCTGTCATTGAGACACAGTTCAATTCTTTTTGTGAGGGGAGGTTAATTACAGCTTTCGAAAATTTTGCCTCTTGCGACTTGTGACAAACAAAGTCAGTGGGAAGCCAGATTTTCTTAACAACCAGGTTGCTAACTTAACAACTGCAGTGATTCATTTAACAACTGTGGCCAGAAAGATTGTAAAATGGGGCAAAACTCATTTAACAACTGTCTTCCTTGGCAACAGAAATTTTGGGCTCAATTGTGGTCAAAAATTGAGAATTTGCAATTGTTCTATAAAGCGCAAAGATTTGTATTTGAATATTTCCAAATTCTTTTGGGTTGAATTTTCGGGCTTCATCCCAAATGCCCTGGTCTTGTTTAGCCATCTCTTGCGGGCTGTTAGTTCATTCTTAGGTTTGTTTACTGCATTTATATCCTGCTTTTTCTTTTCAAGCTTAAAAGTGTTTCTTATCCCTGGATTTTATTATAGGAACAACAAGACTCTGAGATAGCTAAGAGCAAGATGGAGATCTTTTCCAGAATTGAAAGTTTGAATCAAAGTACTTCTTCATCCAAAACCATCTGTACTTCCACAGCCACGCTGGCTGAGGAATTCTGGGAGTTGAAGTCCACAAGTCATAAAAGGGCCAAGTTTGAAGACCCCTGTAGTAAAGCATGCACATTCATGCCTATGATGGGAGGCAAATTTGTGAGGCTCAGAGCCAGCATCTTGCATGTTTGGTATTGTCCAAGTTTGGTTTTTGGATTGCAGATGTTTCATTACCTGACTATATGATAGCATCAGCACAGGGGTTAGGGAGAAGCTAGGAGAATGTTAACTGTAATTTTTCAAGTCTGCTTCTCAATGATTCTTCTCTCCTTGTGTTGTTATGCATGGGAATAGAATACAGAATACAGAATAACAGTGTTGGAATAGACCTTGGAGAACTGCTCAAGCAGGAGATACTATACCATTCCTGACAAATAGCTATCCAATGTCTTCTTAAAAACCTCCAGTGATAGAGCACTCACAATTAAAGGAGGTAAGCCATTCCACTGATTAATTGTTCTCATTGTCAGGAAAAGTTCTGGATCTCTTTTTGATAATCTTCCATCCTGTTACTTCTTGTCCTGCCCTCAAATGCTTTGGAGAATGCACTGACCCCCTCTTCTCTGTGACACCCCTAAAGTACTAGAAGATTGCTATCAAGTCACCCCTGGTCCTTCTTTTCATTAGACTAGACATACTGTTGTTTATGTTTTAATCTCCAGTCCCCTAACCATCTTTGTTGTTCTTCTCTGCACTCTTTCTAGAGTCTCAACATCTTTTTTACATCGTGGTGACCCTAGCTGCAGGGAATCAGCACAACCAGCCCACCCCCACCAGCCCCTCCAGGAAAAGAAAGCCTCACCTGGCAAGGATTTAATTAGCTCATCTAGGATGAGCTTTCTATGGCAACTGCCCACTTGAGTGCACTGCACTAACAAGTTCACAAGCAACCAATCAATCAAGATGTCCCAGTAATGTATTCGTAGACCACCTCCACCCACAACAACAAAAAAACAACCCCTGACTGCATCTGCCTTCTTTAAAGACCCTGATCACAAAATACTCATTTTGTAGACCACCTGATGAGTTGTGTTCACTTCTGTGGTGTGCATTCATTCATTCACTCACTCACTCCACTTTTGCAGAACAGCCAAGCGTGCCATTCAGCATGTTATTTCATATCTATCCCAATTCTATAATCATTTCAGCCTACATCAAGGCCATATTGTAAATATTTCAAGAAATGGGAAGGGGTGACTGCAGTTTAATTACACGCTTGCATTTACACAAATCCCACCTGTATAATCCTGCAATTATACATTCTCTCCAGCCTCTCTAACCAAAGGAAATTCATTTGAACCCTAAGCAAAAAGAATTGCCCAGTTTACTCCATGTTCCCCCATATTTCTGAATTAATTTCTTATTCCTGAGAGCACTTTCTGCTCAGCTAATTTTCTCAGAGCAGCTTCAAAAGGGTCAAGTTCATCCACTGAAGATGCAACTCAAGTTGGCTAATTCCTTCCTGGTTTCCCTGAGTTAATCAATGGATTAAAGTTAATTGCTTCTCTGTGTCAACCGTCCAATTAACGAACACACTTTTTTAATCCCTACATTCCCAAACTGTCTGAAAGTTAATGAAAATTAATTTTTAAACAAGATATGGAATGAAAGGGATTACTGTATTCATAGCTGAAGCCTTGAATTTAGTTGGACTAAAATCTCCTTGTTCTATTTGGCTTGAATAGGAAAAGGGGACAGACCATCTTCAGTCCTAGCACTCCCCAACATTATCCAACCAGAAATTCATCGGATGCAGAACCTGGTTTGGTTTTTTTTTAACTTTCTCCTTCCAATTTTATGGAAATGCAGTCCTAAAAGCATAGTTTGTAACTTATTTGTTACTCCCCTTTTCTTTTATTCAGCCAACCAAGAAAACACTGGAAACGTTTGATTCACTTCTTTGTTGTTGGAAAGCTATGCAACTCTCACTATGAGCTAGTAGTAAAGCACAAAAGCCAGCCTGTAAGGAAGGGGGCAAGAGGTGAGCCCTCAACCCTCAAATCATTGGACAGCTAGAGAATTTCCATTATTGGGCATCTGCTGTCATTAAAATGAAGGGTGGGAGGGGGCA